AAGGCAACAAATCCGCATTGCAATGGCATGTCCTATTTCTAGAGAAAATTAGACAGCGATTCGGATTGCCCAACTTATGTCTGCCCCCAATGTTATGCTCGACCTCCTGAATCTCCACCTAAGTTTTGAATGGATCATTCAAAAAAGGCAATGTCCCACATTTCCTCCTGGTTTCGTTCTTTTGCCCGTTCTTTTCCCGACTTTCACTCATCTCAAATTTGTTTTAAGTGGTTAGATTTGGCTTGTTTACAAATAAAGATGACAATGAATGATTTGTGGTCATTAGCAATTGATGCACATGACCATCGACAGATGCCTAAGAATCTTATTTAGGTTGAAAAAAATTATCGGGATTATAAGAGATGCGACGGTAGAAACGAAGAAGACAACACTGAACAAATATGTCACGGGGATAATGACACGAATGGTTCTTGAATTTTGATCCAATGTGCGATGTGGGTCTTGAACTTTCAATCTATTCAATGTGATTTATGAATTTTTTGTACATGTTCAAATTAGTCCAAAAGTCCAAAACTATATTGCTCGCACTGGTTTAAACATTTATCAAAAGCTTATGGACCATATTGCACGTTGAGTCAAAATTTGAGAACCATTTATGTCATTTTCTTATGTTATAATTTGCTTAACCTAAATTGCCATACGAGAGAGGAAAAGAGTTAATGAATTTGAGAGAATCGCATTAAGTTGGAGAACTCAAAGGGTGCTCAAATTTGTCTTAAGGCAGTTGATAATTAATAAATTGAAGTGATTTAAAGCCTTAAAAGCGCCGCGCCCTAAATTCACCCAAAAACAAGGGGTGACATTGTTTTCCAACGAGAAAATGATGAAGACTCGGAGTAACCATACGCAACAAAAACTCACGTAAGCTTACCGGAAATCGATCATATTATATACGATAAGAAGAGGAGAGACGGCTCTTTCTACCGTTTTCAAATTAGAAAGCGCCCTGACTTGTAAAATAGAAAGGCTGCGTTTGGTCGACCGGATAAAAGTCAGAATAGGATATGTTTTATCCTATCCTATGTTTGGTGGTGGTCCAGGATAGGATAAGGTCGGATATAGCCCGGATAAAAAAATCCGAAGGGGGGTGGGATAGACCTTGATAGGATTTCTAATGTCTATTTTTCCAGAAACCCTACGCTCCACTCACCGTCATCTTCATCCCCACACCTTGTGCGCTTTCAGCAAAAAAATTTCTCGGCTTTTTTTCCTTCACCGACTCCTCCGAACCCGTGAATAGCAAAAAAAAAAAAAAAATTTTATCCTATCCGACTTTAAATCCGTAGTCCACCAAACAGTAGATAAGATATGAAGAAATCCCAGGATTTCTTATCCTATCCTATCCAGTCCTATCCTGTTTAGAAATCCGGACGACCAAACGCAGCCAAATAGGATAGAACCAAACAAACGAAAATTAGAAAGCGCTGAGGAGTGATCTGGGCCGGGCCTTCTGATGGGCCCAACAAGCCTTCTCATTTTGTTCCGTTTATTGGGCCCTTCATTGGTCACTAAAGACGGCATGGAATTATCGGGAATTTCTTTTCTTTAAATTAGCTTCCCAGCCATATATAAACAGGTGGGACAATCCCTTTTTTGATATTATTCTTTTTTTTCAAGTCATGTAATATTTACTTAAAGCATTATTATTTTCTTGATGCTTAAATAAAAATGGAATCAATAATTTCACCAGGTCGCTTGAATTTTTCGTAATGACATATCCGGTTAAACTCTTCTTCTTTTTTTGTAATTTTTTATGGTATGTTTCTTGTAAATGGATAATGATATGTCTTATTTCAGGTAATTTTGTTATTAGACTAAACTAATCCGGTCAAAGGTGATCGTGTAAAGAGTCAACGATTTATCCTTAGTTCTGTATATTGTTTGTAACTTTGTCTTCGTCTTTTGATGTTGCAAATTTGTGTAAATTCCTACTTATTATATTTCAGTGTTAAGGGTGTCAAAATATTAAGTAATATTATTTCTAGGTGTCAAAAAGTAAAGGCTGCTATACTTATAGAGTAACATGTACAAATTCTTTTTAGAAATAAAAAAGGGTTTAAATGGGGTTGCGATCTACCTCACTTGCTACTGGAGCGTTTGGTTTAAGGCACCGGCGAAGTACTAATTACTCATCGGGCAAGCCTATTTGCACAACCCCATTAGGTGCGAATGGGGAAGCCAAAAATCGCAATGCACCTAAGTTCAGGCTCGCCCTTCGCAGACTAACCAAGGTTTCCTAAAACCGAGAATAAGCTAAAACCAAGTTCTGGACCACTCGACCAACCACCTAGTCGGTGAAGTAGACGTACAAATTATTTAGTGACCAACAATGAACTTTGATCAAAGGTTTACAAACCTCGATTTCATTACTACTTCTGCAGCGATTTATCGATCTCGCACCTATCTTAATCAAAATGACTTTTTTTGGCTTTCAAGCTCAAGCAAGAAACTATTTTCTCCCACAAACTCAATCAAAAGTGAAAGTTTCCCCCTTTTTGTTGATGATATAGTGTTAAATGAATGAGATTCGAGCATGAGTAAATGAGAAAACACGACTTCGGAACGAGACATTGCTATATAAGGTGACTTTTGTTTTTTTCGTATTGTACTTTTTTCTATCAAATATTGCAACTTTTGCTTATTGAAAAATACTTAAAAAACCTTTAGAATCCGAAATGGTTCCGAATGTAACACAATCCAAAACCACCCCAGAAGTTGCAGTTAATTGCACGAATGCCCTCGACCGGTATTCGGACTAATTTCGGTTTTTTTTTTTTTTTTTTTCCGGAGCATGTGTCACCACTCTCATATATAGGTTGATGTAAGTAATCATCGCGATTCGGTATACAAATTCGCTTTGTTTTACCGATGACGAGGAAGATACCGGAAAAATAAACTCGACTTTTCACCTAGTGGCCACTTATATACTTTTTGTTTATCTAAATATCATTTGCATACCTCTACCAAAAAGCCCCACATTGAAGAGTTCGAATTGCCTTTCCTTACAAACTCATTTTAGCATCTTGGATAGAGTTCGGTTGATTTGGTTTTTAATTGGTTTTGACTACTTTGGGTGGCTGTGAGAATTCGGGATTTAGAGATGGGCATTTTTGAAAAGAAAATTGCATTTTCGTAAATAGGAAAGAAGCTCAATTAACGTGAACGTGTAAAGTGGTCTCCAAAGGTAAACTTAGAGGTGCACTAGTGGTCATTGGACGAAATGTGAGGTACCTATTTGGTATTTTTCCTATATTTAATTCGTGAAAGCATGATGACAAGAGAATGATGGTTATAAATGACATATCGATTATTATGATGGCATGAGCCGAGTATATAAGGGATCAATGCATAATCGGTCTTTAACATCTGAATGCCAGTCAAGTGAGTCGTTAGTGTTTCGATTTGGTCAATTAAGTTCTTCGCCTTTCAGCAGTCGATTAGTCGAGAATTGAGTCCTTATGATTGGACAAAAGAGTTGCAATTAAGCGTAATAAAGGGGCACGTAAATGGATTGATAGGGAAAAAAAATAATAATATCCGAGAATGATGCCAAAATCGTACCTTTTTTATCCAAGGCACGAGAAACACGTAAAACAATTCGATGATATTTGAATTTTATTACAAAAAAGGAAAAAAAATAAAAGCTTTAAGGCGATAAATGGACACACGAATTGATTGAAAAGAAAATATGAAATAGATAAACTTTTCATGATAGATATCTCAAGAAACAAACGCATGAAAGCGAAAACTTTGTGACAAAATGAATGAGAATTAAAAGCATGCAAAAAGATGAATAAATAAAATAATTAATAATAAAATGGAGAGAAATTAGAAAGAAAGAAAGAAAGAAAGGAACCCAACGGTGGGGGGCGCCATGCATTAATTTCCTATTTAAGACTGTGCAACCACCTTGATTAACACCCTGCGAAAGATCCCTTTCCATCATCAAGCGAGAAGTCGTGCATCGAGTTGATGGAGTTGCACCCTATCGTCGTGCTCGTAGAAATTACGATTTAATTTCCAGCGAGATTATGATATTGAGGTTCCATTTATTCCGTAAAAATTATTTTATGAAAAGATATTTTCCTCATTTTTAGACATTCGGCTCACTTGGGAAAATGATTTCTTAATCAACGGAAAACCTATGCTTAAATTTAGGAAAACAATTTCCTATTTGAAAATTCGAAAAACATTTTTCAAATATATGATTAGGTATCGGCATTTGGATTCGAAACTCTATATTTGGGCACGAAAATCTCAACATTGATTCCCGGATCCTCAACATTTAGAACCAAGTCTCCTGCACTGGGCCCGAAGCCCTGGTGCTCGTGCCCGATGTCCCGACACTTGAGTCCGGGTCCATAAATGTCGTGCTTGGATTCCCGATGCTTGAGCACGGGTCCCTGACACTTGGGCGGGGTTCACAAAGGTAGATCGCGGGTCATTGGCACTCAAGTTTGGGTTCTTAGTTAATGAAACATTCATTCTTATAAAAATATAAATCGATTTTTTCATTATTTGTCTCTATTTTTTTCTTTTTCCCTTTTCTTCTTCCTTGGTGGTGGCCAGCGACTGGCCACAGGCGATGGACAAGCTAGTTCAAGGTTGGCGAGGGTCAAAGCTTAAACTCGACTTGTCGATCATGACCACCCGGAGCCCCTTTCTCTTCTTTGACAAGAGGGTGCGACGGAGATTGTCGGCACAATTGAGACTTGCAGCCTCACAGGCGACGGACAACGGCGGGCGAGAGACATGATGGCGGGTGAGGCGTGACAGAGGCGGTGCCCGCCTCGGTTGCGGGCTCAGTGAGGGATGGAGCAATAGCCTTCGGATCACAACACGGCGCAACCCAACATAACTCGAAGAAGAAGGTTCGTGTTATCCAATCCACAAAAGAAAGAAAATCCTTCTTTGCACTTTGACACACCGAAAATCGACTTCTCTAAAAATTCGCTATGACCTGATTTGATCTAACTTTTGCTTTCCAAACTCGCTTTCACCTGACCCTAATGTAAATACAACCCGAACCTAAAAAATACGAGTCCAGAGAACCGATCCATGACCCATTTTGACACCTCTATCTCTAAAAATATCTACATTGATTTTAAAAAACCAAAAAAAACCCATCAAAGAGGGCGCGAGCGCGAATCTATCCGGGCAGCCGAGATGGCGACCGTTCCCCTACCTCGAACTCTCTATCTCCACCGTCCATTCCATCTCCCGTATGATGATGAATCTTGTCCGCCTTCGGCAGAAACGACGGCGTCCCGGCCAAGAGGCGCCCTCCCTTCCTCGAGCTCCCTTCTATCGCTGCCAACACGACGTCGTAGCTCGTCGACCGCCTCATCCCCGCCGCCGCCACCGCCGTCCTTATCTGATTCCTCACTTCCTCCGGCAGCCTCAGCGCGTAGCTGTCCGGGTCGGGTCCGGGTCGGGCCTGCAAGTGACCCGTGGAGTGGGACTTCGGCAGCTTCCCCGCCGGAGCCCTGCTGCTCTCCGCCGCCGCCGCCGCCGCCGCTCCCAGCTCTTCGTCTCCTCCTCCTCCGATGTCGATCCGCACTTCGTTTCGTACTTCATCGCACGGCGGTGGTTGTTGCTGTTGTCGCCGCGGCTGGTGTTCTTCTTCTTCTTCTTCTTCGGCACGCCGCTGGCTGATTCGCGCCCGATCGGCGGCCCACTCGGCGGCGGCGGCGGCGGCGGCGACGAGGCGGAGGCACGGATCGGGAGTCTGATTTGCTCGGCAGACGGGACAGGTGACGTGGGAGGCGAGCCACGCGTCGATGCACTCCGGGTGGAACACGTGCTCGCATTTGGGCAGAATCTTGAGCCGGTCGAAGCCGTCGAACTCGGTCAGGCAGACGGCGCACTCCAGCGCTCCCTTCCCCAGCTTGTGGTCCCTCACCGCGACGTAGGCCAGCACGGGGAACGAGTCGACGACCCCCGGGTCGAGCCCCCGCCGGAGGAGGCAGCGCTCGTTCCCGCCGCCGCCGGCGGGGACGAACCGGACGGCGCGCCGGGACCCGGCGTCGGCGGACTCCTCGGAGCAGTGGCGGATGTAGATGGAGAAGAAGCCCATCATGAAGAAGGCGCAGACGGTGACGACGACCACGATGGCCATTGTCGGGTCCAGGTTGGAGTAGAGCCCGTACTGGCCGTTGTCGTTGCCCGCCCGCGTCGAATTCCGACCCGGCCACGAGCCTCTCTGCGCCCCGACGTGGCCGAGCTCGAGCGAAGCCGACCCGAGAGCGGCGAGCGCGCAGAGGACACCGAACGCCGGACTCATCCGCCTCCTGAACTCGGGGGGAAAAATCCGAAAGAAGGGGGAAAGCGAAGCGAAACTGTTGGTGGGTCAAGCACGAAGAGGAGGAGGAGGAAGGAGAAGAAGGGCGCGAGAGAGAACGAAGAGCGAGTAACGAATAGATGGGGCAAGAGGGAGATTTTCAGGGCAATGACACTAGACAGCGACACGGATGGAAATTGGAATTTGAGTTGAACTCTTGCATCATCTGCGGAAGGCTCATCATTATCCTGTCCGAAAAAACGCTGGTAACTTTGGTTACGCACTCCAGTGAGAGGGACTTAAGGCAGCAGGGAAGGCTGCTCGCGTTTATATTGTTTTTGGGGGACGCACCGATGGCCGGGTTGACGTGACAGCGGGAAACCGGCGGCTGGAGGATATGATTGAGGAGGGGCTGCGACTCAGCGGCGGCCGAGGAGAGGGAAGGACAAGTTGTAGAGGATCGGACGGCCCTGATATTTTCTTCGTGGTTTCTCCTTTTTTTTTTAATCTCTTTTTTTTTGTCGGGGGGGAAGATTCTAGTACGGTGCACAGAGAGGGAGGAAGGGACACGAAAGAATCTAGGGAAAAAGCATGGATGTTGGGGGGGGCAAACCAGGGGCGGTACCGGAGATTTATGGCGGTGCTGTTGACCGAATTGATGGATGTTTGCCCGTTTCGAGGGTTATCGGGGTTCTTTTGCGTGTGCTTTCTGGCTTTTTGACTCTTTTGCAAAGGACAACCAACGGGATAACAACGGGAAGGAAACTTCTCCCGCAATGCTTTTTGTCTCGCGGCTGTAGCCTGCCGTGGTGATCACTGTCCCATGTTTAGACACCGATTACTGTCGCGATCGCGAGAACTCTCGGAAGGTTGCTCTTTCCTGGGGTGTTCGGAATCGCCCCAGTTATGTTTCGCGATTGATCGATAGATCGAATTCCTAGATTGCCGTCCTTGGATATAAATAGGCGATCGGGCCATTTAGGGCGCGTTTGGTAGTGCTTCTGTTTCTCTATTTTTCTGTTCTTCTGTTTCCAGGAACAAAAAAAGAACAAAAATCCGTTTGGTAACGCATTTTATTTTTCTATTTCCTGGAATAGAAAAGTGGCTAAGAAATAGATTTGGAGCAGAAATAAGAAGTAGAAAAAATATACTTCTTTGTTCCTAGAAATAGAAATAGAAATAGAAAGGTTCGGTTATCAAGTCGCGACCTCAGCTCGTCCTCCATCCTCCGTCGTCTGCAAACCGTCTCAAAGCACCGGTCCGATCCATTCTCGGAGGAAATAATAAAAAAATTATAAAAAATTAATTAAATTATAAAAAATTTAGAAATTCCAAAAATTCATAAAAATCGGAAAAATTCTCAGAAAATCCATAAAAATCAGAAAAACTCAGAAAACCCATAAAAATTTGCAAAATTCCAAAATTTAAAAAATTAAAAAAAATTCATAAAAAGCTTTCTGGAAAATAAAAAGAGACAAATTTCGGGAAAGTAAAAAGTTTTAATAAACTTTTCCCCAAAAAAACAAAAATAAAAAATTCACATAATGGCTTAGAATAAATTAAAAAATTCTGAAAATTCATAAAAATTAGAAAAATTTCAGAAAAATCCCATAAAAAAATTAGAAAATTAAAAAATTCCCAAAATTCATATAAATCAGAAAAATTCTCAGAAAATCCATAAAAATCAGAAAAACTCAGAAAACCCTTAAATATTTGCAAAATTCCAAAATTAAAAAAATAAAAAAAATTTCATAAAAAATTTTCGGAAAAATAAAAAGAAACAAATTTAGGGAAAGTAAAAATTTTAATAAATTTTACCCCAAAAAAATATATAAAAAATTCACATAATGGCTTAGAATACCTGTGGCCACCCATTTTGAGTGAAATTTAAATTTTTGAGGTGCCCAAGTGGTATTTTTGAAGATTCCTTAGTTTAGGAATTAAAAGGGGTTTTAAACCCCTAAAAGGATTAGACAAACCAATAAATCATGCTTATTGATTTTTTTCACTTATAACATGTACTTATAGTTAAATAAAAGATATAGATTTGAATGCGAAAAATTGGGAATAGAAATTTTGTGCATTTACCAAACGCATTTCTGTTCTTTTTCTATTCCGGGAATAGAAATTTTGTGCAGTTACCAAACACATTTATGTTCTAAAAATAGAAATTTTGTGCAGTTACCAAACGCATTATTTTGCTCAGAAACTCTTCCAGGAAATAGAAATAGAAAAAATTATTTCTGAAAAGAAATTATTCCCAAAAATAGAAACGTTACCATACGACCATTATAGGTCGGAACCAAAGAAACCCCCCCTGTCTGCGACTCTATTTAATAACCCGACTTGGGTATAAGATGCGATTAATATTTTGTTGAATGCTAACTAGATTTTTGAGGAAGAGGGTGGAACGAATGAATCATTGACATTGAATGAATGAAGTTATACATCCCAGAGTAATATGTACTGGGTGGGTCGCTTGAACTTCGGACACATATTTGTTCGCACACATCAGAATTCAAAAATCCGGGACCGTGGAAAAGCCGCGAATGGAACTCCATCCAGCAACAGCACATGTTGGGGTGGTCGACTCTGACGATGTTATTCTTCACAAGGAGTTATGCAGGAATAAGCAGGCAACTGCAGATGCAAGAATGACTAGTTGGTTGGCAAATTGTCTATCTGGCGACTCTCCTGCATAAGTATGTTTCAGATATTGAGAGCCCTTCAGGAAGTGCATACTGGGGTGCTCTGTGAACTGCTCAAGAGTGACTGGAGGAGGATCATGTATTTACCTAATTGGAGATAATTGTTCCTAATGTTCCACTCGAAGTCCCAGTGCTTCCTGTCGTTCTTCAGCGTCCAATAAGCCCATCCGAACGAAGCAGCGTCGTAAACTTCTAACTGAGCCTCCCCGAAATCTTGATATTCAGCCTGTGATCCGTCGGTCACATCCCACTCATTAACCCACTCCCCTGAAAAACACAAAGACAGAAGCAGTGAATGGACAACCGATTCGATGGAGGATCATACGCCCTATCAAATGCCAGATTATGGAGGAGGAGGAAGGACAGAGGACTGGTTCTGTCAATTGGTGAAGGCAAAGCGATCTTTAACTTACCGATAAAAACGAGCGGACCGTTTGCACTGTTTAAGGCCTTTAGTTGTGCTTCCCTGCTTTGGTATATGAATTGTATATTGTCCACGCTACTCATGTTCACAAAGAAAGTGTCAAAAAGACTGTAGTAATGTAAATCCACCACAATGTTGTGGGAACCTATGCTAGCCTGATATAGTTCTAATGGATCCGCATCGCCAATTCTTTGGCATACTATCACGTAAGCACTGGAGGAGTGCTTCCGGACGACTTCATAGCCTTGCTTATAATAGGATACAAGAATGTCCAACGGAACCGAGGCGGCAGATGGCTCGTTTAAAAGTTCAATGCCCAGCAAAGCAGAATGCTTTGCATACCTGCAAATGCAAGAGATCACCCTTACAAAGAGCTCAACTGAATGTCTTTCTCATTCTGCATATAAACATTTATATACACACAGGTCTGTACATAAAATAAGCTGCAAATAATTCAACATTGTCCCCACACATGGCTGCAAGTACGATCCATTTTTAAGTATATCAGAGCATGCCTGTATATAGAAGAACCTCGACTCTGCCATCATCATTTATTTATGGTATCATGGTTAAATCAGTCATTGATTAACTTCTTTTATTGATTGATGAGCTATAATCATTCCAATTTTCAAAGTTTCATGCAAATGATCCAGATGACAAACACTAGAATCATGTAAAATTACTTTCTTGGTAGGCAAAAAACATCAGGCACTGGAAGGAAAAACAATCTATGACAAGTAAAGCATCATAAGGTGACTCATTTGAACCTACCGTTTAGCTAAGAAATCAATAACATCCAATGTTTTGGAGATGTAATCTGGAGACGTAGGCCAGCCTATTGAACCATCTCTGCTAGCACTATGCTCCAAACCATTTTGTGAGCCCGGAGCTGCATGAAGGTCAATTATGCACTTTATGTTATAGGCTCTGCAAAAAGTTTTATGAATGTCAATTGGAAATGCAAACCAAAAGAAAGGCCAATACATCAGGAGAAAGGCTGAAGTGAAATTACCTTGCCCAATAGAAAGCGTTGTCGAGGGCTTCCAAGCTCCCCTCTATAAATGGAGCCGGAGGATTAGGATCAAAAGCAATCCACCAACCAACAGGGATCCTCACTGTATTAATTCCGTGTCTATATAGAAAGCTGAAGTCCTCTATCGTAATAAACGTGTTCCTGTGTTTCTGCAATTTCAGAGAAGTCAAATGAGCAGCAAGAAGCTAACATATGGCGCACCATGTTATGAAGGCCTTTTATATCAAGACATGTGAAGAAGACGCAAAAAATGACATCCATCACCATAATAGCTGTGTCATGGACATGCCTATAAAATCAAGACAGAAAAAACAGAACCACAAGAAAAGGAGTCAAGATTGGCTGTCTGTATGTACTAGAAGAGAGCTTGAAAAGGGATTGGCAGTCTCAGAAAAAGGAAAACAAATATTTTTATAGGTATACTGTTTAAATCAGCAAGATTCGACAGAGGTTTAGAAGGTGATTCTACGAGTCTTTTTAAAAGACTGGCGAAGCTTTCGGCATAGTTTTCGGACACCATTTCTCTTCTTAATCAGACCTAAATTCATAAAACCTCGAATTATAGTTCCAACCTAGTGAAAAGGTCTTTTGTTGAGTCTACATCTGTTGTGGCAGATACACCGCAGACTTTCGATTCTTTTGTTTCTGTATGACAGCTGAAAGGATGGTGAGGAACATTAATGCTTTGAGATTCATTTCTCATTCAGCCAATGGACAGCATTTTTCTGACCTTGATTCCAGCTTACAATCTTTTCTTTCATCACATAGCAAGAAAAGGTGCGACTCTTCAGTATCAAATGTTTTCTTTAAAAATTCAGGCAGGAAGCCTAGTTACAGTAAAAACATGTAGCTGAAGAACATGCTAATAATAGTAGATTAGAAAAAATTGAATATCTACACTTGGCATCGGATTGCAAATTCACCAGCCTGTATGCCGAGGAGAATCAAAAGAAATATTATGCCTTGCCAAGATTAAGAATGAGGAAACGGGGAAAAAAACAACTTAGCTACCTTGAGGACTTCTTTTGCTTTAGAGTGACCATATCCATTTGCCAACTGGTAGTCCCCATGCAGATTATTTGCCACAATTGTCATTAAGAACGTAGCGGCATTGTTGTCATCCCATCCCGGTTCCCCTGGATAGTCGGCTGTCAGCTGATTTGCTGTTGTAGCCTAGATAAGAAACTATGTAAGCTTGATCAAATTCTAGCAGTGCCAGAAAAATTCAGAGGTCAGATAAAAATCATCTAAGAAGACTCATTTTGACATTGTCAACTACAAAAGCAAGAAATTTCAGATATTCATCTATAACCTACTGGTTTGTTTTAAATAAATTTAATTCTCATTGTGATATTTTTTAAACCATTCTAGATGACTTGAATGATCAGCTCTCACCAGGAGCAAGATCTTGTACTGCGAAGTTATGTACTGTTCAATATGCGAACCTTACACTGAAACTCTACTAGAGTTTGCTCTAAAACCTACTTTCCTATCTATCACACTGAAAATCTGTTTTAGACCTCTTACAGACAGTAGGACAGATGATAAAAGAATAACATTCGCCTTACCTGCAGATAAGTCCCAGTTGAAAGTTTGATGTGAATCCTACTGTTGTTTCTTTCAATGTAAAAGGTTTCTGTCGCTGATGGTGTCTGTGCTGTCGCAAAAACTGAGCATCCTTCACCATCACACGTTAGAAATTGACCAGAGGAAGACCGAAATTGAAATGTGAATTCTGATATTCTCCATAGCTGTAGGAGGAGAGGAGAAACATCCCAGAACAGATCTGATTAATCAGCTTGTCATTTGACCGACTGCCAAATAAAATCATCCATTCGTTGATCTTGATATAAAAAATAAAAGAATTGAAAGCACAATGGCAGCTTTTGAAATAGTAGTAAGGTGAACAAACATACATCATACTTTAACTCTTCATGATACTGAACACAGAAACTATGCCTTGCAAAATCTAAGAGTCGTGAGTAAATAGTTGGCTTCAAATTTAGTATACGCCCTTAAAAAAAAATGTCTTGAAGTGACTTTAACCTATGCAGACAACTGATACGAAACCCAAATGTCATTTCAACTCATAGTATCCAGTAAATTGCATTTTAATAATAATTCATTTTGCATGATTTTTATGCAGTAGGCCCAGATAAATCTTCAATCAAGTGATGAAATGATCCAGACGTATATGGCTTTGTCAACGCTCTTCACTAGTGTTTCCTCGGTTTTCCTTGTTACACACCCTCATGTCAGTTGCCCGAAAGAAATAGGTATCCAAGAAACTCGGCCAAAGACATCTTATTCCTCTGCTGCAACTGTGACTCACCGGGGGATCTTTCCAAAAGAGCAATAAACAATCAATAATGCAGAAAACAACACAATTTCAGTTTTTGGTCTTAGACAGTTGCAGCTTGATGCCTACTACATCACGAACGCAGGAATACCTTTAGCTAGTAAGAAAACCATGGCAGTTACATGCGAAAGACAGAGCAGATCCATCATTCAATTTAGCTTCTTGATTACAATAGGCTGTTTTGAACGGGTAAGGCATCTCACCGTGAAAGTTTCCCACAAAGACGCAACATCCCTATTGACTGAAACAGTTGTGCCCCCACCATTCTCTGCACAGACATACGTCTGCAAGGCAACCGACTTCAGTTGGACGTGTGTCCCATCCTACATTTCAATACCAGCAGCAACTAGATAACTCGAACCGATCACAAAGAACCCAAAAGTGATCCTGAATTTCAGATGAGAAACCGGAAAACAAATGGAGGGAACAAAGAAACTTACAAGCATATCCCCATTGGGAATGTCATCAAAAAGTGAAGGCTTAATCCAACCTTCCACAACCAGCCATCCTCCCAAGTTAACTCCTCTCACTTTAGCATCTCCATGTAATCCCTCCACTGAAATCAATCAGGAAGAAGTAAATCAAGCATCGATGTTTCGCAATTACGCATACCTCTCACCTTAAGCAATCAGCATTTTGCACGAAAAACCATGATGAAACATGGAGGCTGGAGAAGCAAGAAGAGTTACCGCCAAATGCCGTCTGAAAGATGAGCCAACAAGACAGTAGAAACGCGCCTACCCATTTGCTCAAGTCATGATCCATGGACAATGCCGCCTTCAGCAGCATCCCAGCCGGTCCATCTATGGCAGAAGAAGGAACCCACATAAGAAACCAACACGAACATTGATTCTGTCAAGAGTGTCAGCAAATTCGTTCCTTATCAGTGAATCTATACCAAATTGAACCTTGTCAACAAGTACAAAAGATCCTTCTCGTTCAAATTTATGCATTAGCAAAAAAGTATTCAAGCGCGACGAGACAATAAAATAACCAGAAAACTACGTTAGAATCATGGGGCGATGTTTAGCAGACAGCCAAGGAATAAAATGTACGCACGAAAAGTACTCGGTGCTCACATGAAAGTGCTCTTTAAACGGGGGAAAGAAGGGAAAGCAGGAAAGGGTGACTGTTGACAGTTCCCTTGGAGGGTCCGGGGGGTCGTTTTTCAAGAGGGTCGATTCTGGATTGGTTTGATGCGGCAAGAAAGTGAGGTAAAAGGCACGCTTTCAACCTTCGCAAGGGGCGCGTTAGAAAGAAAATGACATGAAAAATGAAAGGAATATCAAAGAGGGTGGGTGCTAGCTGGCTCCACCACCACCTCCCCCTCCCATTTTCGTCTCGTCTGATCTCTGCCCCCACCCGCAGTCGCTTTCGTATCTCAAATTTGCAGGAGGAAGATGGATGGAATTGGGCGGGGCCCCTCTGCCTTTGCGTACAGCAGAGAATATATTTCTCCTCGCGACGCCTTGCTATACAAGCAGAGAAGGCAGCGTGCGGGTGCGCTCATGGTCATAGGGAGAGGGAGAGCGATGAAGGAGACGCTATGAAGCATATGATCATTCCCATGCAAATCACCATAATATGACTTTAGCGGAAGTGATTATGAAAATTGAATCGAGAATTTACGATGGATAATATATATATATTAAAACAGTTAATTCACTACTTCTTCTTCTTCATCTTCTTCTTTTTCGATTAATAGAAAGATTAGTATTTAGTATTTACAGACTAGGCGAGTATATGAGAAAGTAGTTCAATACACCCTACGGTGTCTTTTCGTAATTTAACGTGGATGGTACTTTTGAAAGTAAGTTAAAAAGTGAGAAAAAGGAAAAATTCCAATTTAGGGTTCAAAGTGGGGCCATTTTCTCAAAATGGGGTCCCAAATGACTTAATGCCAAATTGATACCCAAAGTCTCCAAAAAGTGTCAAATAAGGGTCATCGCCGGCAGTAAGCCGGCGAAAATACCCGCCTAATGGCCAGGCGATCCACGCTTGATCGACTTCGCGAACTACCAACAGTGTTATATATATATTTTCTTTTTTCTGTTTTTTTCTATTCCTTTTCCTCTTTTTTTTTCTCCTTTCCCTCCGCCTGCCATTGCTCTGGCCGGGCAGAGGGTCGAGCCTCGGCTTTTTTTCTCCTTTCCCTCCGCCGGCCATTGCGGGCCTGGCGGAGGTCGCCGGAGGGCGACCCTCGCCCGACCACGGGTTGCCCTCACTCGGCCACTGGGTCGCCCTCGCTGGTGAGGGCCGCCTCCCCCGAGGCCGGGCCTAGGCAGGCAGAATGGCCTGCGGAGGAAAGGAAAGGAAAAAAGAGGAAAAGGAATAGAAAAAACAGAAAAAAAGGAAAAAAAATATATAAAAACACGTTCAGTAAACGGAACAGCGTGGATCGCCATGGCGAGTATTTTGGTATTACGGCTGCCCTGCACTCTTATTTGATACTTTTTGGGGATTTTGGGTACCAATTGGCACTAAGTTCACTTGGATCCCATTTTGAGAAAATGGCCCCACTTTGGACCCCAAATTGAAATTTTCCCCGAGAAAAACGAGATTATTTATGGCTGTATAATACTAATATCAAAGCTCGCGTTAGGTGCGTGCTTGATCATCGATGGAACGTGTACGAAGAGAAAACAAATCATTTTTTTTTCTTCAAAAAAGACATCGAATCCATTCAATTGAGCGAATGTGGCAGGCAATTACCACACAAATACGAAGGTAGAGTCACGATTGATCTTTAAAACTCCGGCTTGTGTTCGCGGAAAACATATAAATTGAAAAATATTTTCTTTAAAATGATTATCGAAAAGTGTTTTGATTATCAACAAAAAAATTATATCTAATCATTTTCGTTAATAAGAATAATGCGGAAAATATATTTATGAAATTCGTGTATATTTTTATATATCACAAACAAAAAGTATATCAGCCCATTTTATCAATCAAGATATACATAATGAGATATACTCGCGATCTTGAAAGATGCGTAAATATTCTAATTATCTCTAATATAGGAAAATATCCAAGAGAATTATCCTAATCATTTCCAACACGTTCATTCATTTTTGGATTAATACCACGAAAAACCCCAAATTGGTACACCTGTGATAATTTTACTCCAAACTAATTTTTTTATCACCAAAAACCCCAAACTGATATACCAGTAACAAATTTATCCCAAACTAATTTTTTGACCACCAAAAACCCTAAACTGGTACATTTGTGACAAATTTACCCTCTGTTAATTTCTATTAAATTGAATTAATACCACAAAAAATCACAAATTGGTACACCTGTAACAAACGGAAGGTAAAACATAAAACCGGTACATCAGTCAACTGCCGCATGTCATTTAACAAAGCAATTTGACAGTAAAATTTAACGGAAACAAACTAAGGGTAAATTTATCACAGGTGTACCAGTTTGGAATTTTTAGTGGTTAAAAAATTAATTTGGATTAAAATTGTCACAGATGTATCAACTTGAGGTTTTTCACGGTATTAACCCTTCATTTTTTCAAGCAATAGAAGCAATCATTTTTATGAAAAAATATTTTCCAAATCTTTTGATTTTTCGCGAAACAAACGTAGCGCTTTGGGTATTAATAAGAAAAATAAAAAATAAAAGTTGACATATAAAATATAAAACTTACCAAATAAGTTTCTGGGAGGCACAAAGAGAGAGAGAGGGTTAGCTTCTCCGCGCAAGAAAAGAATGCCTTGCCCGCAACTCTCCCCCACTGGTCAGACCAAAAAGGCAAGGCAAGGCAAAGCAAAGCAAAGAGATTGGCCGCCCATCTTCTTCAACCACCACCGCCGATCGAACCCCTCCTCCTCCTCCTTCCCTAGTAGAAACCATCCTCCAAAGGTTTCCCTTAACCCTCTTCATCCGGGCAAAAGCGAAGATGACGACGACGGCGGAGGAGGAGAGCGACTCCATCTCGCGCTTCGCCTCCCCCTTCGAGCTCATCCGCAACTGCGACCTCCCTCCCCCGCAGAAGCTCTTCCCCGGGATCGACGAGCCGGCGGCGGCGGCGATGGCGATGCCGGCGCTGCTGGTGGGGCTGGGAGACGAGAAGCGGCGCCTCCGATCCTACGCCGGGGGCGGGGGCGGGGCCGCGGGCGGGGCCGGCGGGGACGGGAAGCTGGAGCTCCTGAGGGCGCTGCGGCTGTCGCAGACGCGGGCGAGGGAGGCGGAGGAGAGGGGCGCGGAGGCGGCGGCGGAGAGGGACGCCGTCGCGACCGCCCTGATCGGGGAGGCCGCGAGGGCGTCGGCGTACCGGCGGTGGGCGTGGGTGCTCGAGCACGAAGTGGCGGCGCTGAGGTCGAGGTCGAGGCGGAGGCGGCGGTGGCGGCGGGGGGGAGGCGGAGAGCTCGGTTGCCGCTGCGAGAGGCTTTGCGGATCGGCGGAGGAGGAGGCGGAGGCGGAGGAGGAGGAGCGATGCGAATCGATGGCGTGGATGGTCGCTTTCGCCATCCCCCTGGGGATTGCTGGTATAGGACTAGCTTTGGCTTGTAGATTTCTAATTTAACATAACAATTAAAAAATATATATATCATTTATTTTACATCAAACTCAAGAGAAAATTACTGCCTACATTTCAATGTTGAATTGCAGTTCTCGTGAATACCGCGTGCCACGTTTTTCGGTAATTAATTTTTGAATTTAATCGCACTAATATGAAAAATTCAGGATTCGATCGTGTAGGCCGTAAAAATTTGAACTTGACTACACCGTACAAAAAAAAAGGTTAAGTCTAGGTTATATTTCGTACGTTCTGGGTGTTTTTTTTTTTTTCATGAAAATGACTCTCGCGGGTATTCATTTTATGTTTTTACTCCCGAGGGTCCCGCGAATGAACTTATTTACATCCCTGCCATTTTTTTGAAATTTTTTTTTTAGTTGTGCCTAGAGAAATACATAGTTGTTGCGCCTCATCATGGTCATTTACTATGTGTAAATCAGCTAATACTTTGATTGCAATTGGTAACATTCGAGAACCTCGAGGCGTCGGACTGATTTCTAGGCAAGTTTTGAAACTAACTCAGACTTCTTAAACTGTGCATACTCTTCTCATCTTTCATTTCGAATACTATATAAGTTATGCATTTCTCACTCGGCATGCTTTAAGTTTGTATTAGAGCATCGCTTTGTTCAAGAGCTACCGTTGGCATTGCAATACATTTCGTTTTCAACTTGCGGAGTTTCGGTTTAGCCGGAGGACGCAAAGATGGGACAACGGACCTATTTCCCACTCATGTTTTTTGCGCTGAGTTTAAATTGGGTTGCTCCAGTTTCATGAACGGGTTAAAATGAGTTGTAAGAAGTAGAGACCAATTATAAATGGGTTTGACTAGGAACCATCTTTAACGCAATTGTGACGAAAATGAAATAAAACGAGTAAGACCGAGTCATCCATCCCCCTTCCTCATCGCAACTTTTTTTTTTTTTTTCCGGTCAAATCCTTATCGCAGCTTTTACTCATACGGGGATGCTATTTTTCATTTTTAGGGATGGGAATTGCTAATAATTGGAACTCGGGTTGGATTGGGTTCGATATGGGTCAAGATCGGATCGGGGTATGGGTTACTAAAATCGTATCGCTTAAAAATAGGTCTATACGAGTTAAATGGGTCAATTTTAGTTAAACCCATTTTCGATCCACACAAATTCAACCCGAATTACTCATTTGATTGGTCTAGTTACGGTCACGATCCACCATTTTTCGTAATGTTAGATGTTTGTGATTGACTTGGGAGGTGGTTCCGACTTGTGGCGTTGCTCTTCTACTGCATACAAAACCCATCCACGCCAGCATGGTTGCTTGAGTTTTCTAATGGAATTTAACTGCCACAAGAAGAGGAAAATGTCGTGGTTATGATGCCCTTTCCGTTATGAGGATCAAAAGGAGGGTGAAGAAGGAAGAAAAGACTTGCAAAACATCCAAAGGGAGATTAGGAAGAGAGAAGGTGAAGAGTGAGACAAGGTCAATGTCACTTTCATACTTGGTAACTTGTGAGTTTAACATGAGAGACAGAGAGAGAGAGAGAGAGATTTCAATGGGCCTGGGCTTATTCCTTGGGCCTTAATAGAGATAATGATTTCTATGGGCCTGGGCTTATTGATTGGGCCTTGATCCGTTGAGAAATAGTCAAAAAGCCCACATTGGGAATCAGGGGACACCCACGAAAACGTGCACTCCACATTGGGAAATCCAAGCCGCACCTCTATAAATCTCCATTGCGATTTCTCTTTTCCTAAACTCTTTAATGCTCGCGGTTTATATTGCCAGTTCGCTTCGCGCATGGAAGTCGGTACCACAAATTTAGCTCGTATTTTCTTGAAAAGACCAGTTCGTCCACCTTCGCGGTTGCTTATTTGGGCCTAACGCAAGTCGCTAAGTGGTCCTAGAGTCGAATACATTTGTAATCCGGGGGGCAAGTATGTTGTATAGGCTCCAGCTTGAGAGGGAGTGTGCGAGATATTTCTCGTACACTGTGTAAAGGTATTAGTTCCAGTGGCATTCTTGCAATATTGCCGTGCTCTTTAAATCTAAGGGGACAAGATTACTAGCTACCGACGTGTGATTCCTCTCTATCTCTTCGTATTTACACTCACGTGTCAATTCGCGTCAACATATAAAGTCAGCCTGTTGTGTCGTGTCATATTCGGGTTTTATCCAGTCGTGTTCTTGTCGTGAAAACTAGTCGTATCCAGCGTTGCCAACTCTATCTCATACTCCCCCCTATATGCGCATTCATGCCCCCTAGCAACAGCGTCTAACAAAATCCTAGGATAAAAAAGAGGGGATAAAGGTACCTGGGAACGTTTTTAATTTGTTTAATTTGGTTTCTAATCTTCCTTTTGGCAATTATATCCTTGAAGCATATATTTTTTGGTTCCCGTCAATATTTCCATAAAAAAGTAAATGAATTTAATCACAAATTGCCTCTTAAGTGCCGCGTTAGATATCACGTATCATCCTACGTGATAATTAAAATCAACAGTATGGAAAATAGGCAAATCGCCATAGCAACGGCCACGGCGTTCTCGCTGTAATTTCCGGGATCCAATTAGCATAAAAAAAAGAAGGAAGCCATGGACACGAAATTGAATAGAGGATGAGAAGTAACATTTGGGTGTTCCGAGGCCCGAGGATGTCGACCGAATCGGAGGATGTCGTACGGCGAGCAGACCGCCGCACGTGTGAACGGGGCGGGGGAAAAAAAAAATCGTTTAAAAGTCTAAGGCGAGGAACGCGACGGGGAGCGTGCCCCTCGGCGCGCACGCAATTTGGGACGGCGGTCGATGCACGTAACCGACGGATTCCACGTGCGGCGACGTTTCCACGTGGCTCGAGACCGCGGCCATGATGATGTCCGCCCCCACCGCACGTGCGCCATTTGTAAATTAATTAAATTAAAAATATATATATATAATAATAATATGATAAGCGAAGCGAAGAGCCTCCCTCGGTCTCGACCTTGATTACGACTGGGGGGTGGCCCGCCACGTAACATCCTGCGACTCCCCGCACGCACGCATCGGAGCCGTCAATCAATCCGAGTTCACGGAGAGAGATTGTTTTTGCCACGTGGGAAATCGCTGATTTTGGAGAACCTGCAGATTTCTTCCGTCGGGAATTCCGCGGAAGCAAGTCATTCCATTTGCCACGTTTCTTTCGTCCCCGAAAACGCAATCGAGTTACCGAAAATTCCAAAAAGTCTTGAGATTTGTTGGGTTAGCGCAATCAAATCCTTCCATCAGTTTTATCCGACTCGGGACCCGATTGTACCAACTTGACAAGTTTTAGGACTTGATTATACATTTTGAAAGTTATAGAACTCGATTTTCACTTTGGTGACAAGTTTTGGGACTTGATTGTACTTTTGAAAAAAATTTTAGGATTCGAGCACTTTCGTGACAAGTTTTAAGATTTTTAGTGCACTTATCCCATTTTTTCTTAAAGTGAAATTGACACAAAATGATCATTAAACTTTGATCCAACGTGCACGTGCAATGTGGTCCTTCAACTTTAATTCAATGTGTAATGTCGTCCGTGAAATTTCAATTTGTTCAACATGGCCTTTGAACTTTGGTCCAATGTTCAATGTGACCCCTGAACTTCATAAACTTTCAATTTGTTCAATACGGTACATGAACTCTGGTCTAATGTTCAATATCGTCCCCCCCAATTTTTTTAAACATTTTCACATAGTCTAAGGATTACATTAAATATTTAATAATAATTCAGGGACCACATTGATCAAATTAAAAGTTCGGAGATGACATTACACATTGAATCAAAGTTCAAGAACCACTTGTGCTATTATTCATTTCTTGTACTATATATGCAATCCGGGCATTAAAAATGAATCGATTAACAAGTATTTCGGCTCATTCGTTAATAAGACCCTAAAAAATATAAATTGAATTGGTGTATAGAACATGCACGATAAATTCCCATTAAATCTGGCTCGCTAATTTAACTAACTTATATCGAAGCAATTCGCCGATAAATTTCATATATATATATACACATTAATTCTAACACACACACACACACATATATATATATAACATAACTCCATTTTTTTTCCGCTCGTGGGATGGGTCTCTGCAACACGTCCCTAACCACCCAACGATTGGTGTCATGCACTGAACCTAAAGACAAGTTGATGATGCTCATTAGATAATGTTAGGTTGTACTTAGGTCTCGAAAGGTGCAAAAAAATCTAATAAGATAAAAGGGGAAAAAAGAAAAGGTGTAAAGAGTATAGGGTCATACCTAAGCGCAACTTACATTTTGGTTCGTCCCCTCTTCCTCCCATTCTCAATTCCACCCGATTATCGAAATTCCTAGGGCACATCATACATTCATAATTTCTTTTACGACGCCTCGAGTCCGATAGTATCGAGTCGCGACGTAGCAAAACGATCTAGCGACGTCTCGCGGCACATCATGTGGGCCGATCCATTAAGACGGCAGCCGTTCTCTATTCGACGGGGCCTCCGATAACTCTACGTACACATATATTCCGCGTTATTATAATTTATCGCTTCGAATTTTTGCGAAATAAATTCGTTTTTTTTAAATTGAATTTTTTGGGCACACCAATCTCAAACCGCATCCACGCCGTTCGCATCGCAGACGATTCCCCCCCCCGTGACCGTACGGTTTGGGGGGGTGACTGGGACGGCGAAAAGGAGTGACGCAACGCACCTCGATATTTTCTTTTTGCCCCCGCGTGCGAAAGGACGGAATTGCCCCTCGGCGAACCTTCGAGGAACCCGCGGAGCCGAGCCGAGCCGGAGCCCCGCTCCTATATATAAGCCGAGTTCGTTGGTCCGTCTCCCCCTACATTCCCTGCAGCGCACAACAGAGTCGACACGCACGAGTCGTACTGAGTCGGAACGGAGGGGAACTCGCCCGAAGCGAGAAGGGGAAAATGGGGGCGGCGGCGGCTCGGACGCAGGTTCGGAGTGCGCGAGGCACCCGAACCACGAGAAGCTCCCCGGCGTCTGCTCGTCGTGCCTCCGGGAGAGGCTGTCCCAGCTCTTCGCCGCCCCGGAGAAGACGAGGAGCGGCGCCTCCTCCTCCTTCGCCGCCTCGGCCTCCTTCGACTCCTCCTCTTCCTCGCGGCGCTTCTCGTCCGCCTCCTCCTCCTTCTACCACTCCCCGCCGCGGCACCACCACCACCGCGGCGTCGTCGGGGGAGGAGGAGGAGGCGGGGGCCGCCGCCACCACAGGAACGCGTCGGAGGCGATCGGGCCCGTGTTCCTCGCGGTGAACGTCGGCGTCGGCGTCGGCGGGGGCGGGGATCGGGACGACTGGGGGCTGAGGAAGAGCAGATCGATGGCGTTCGCGCCGGAGAAGAAGAGAGGGTTCTGGCGGAGGCTGCTGCTCCTGAAAGGCGGTGGGAGGAGCCGGAAGGAGGAGGGATCGGCGGCGGTGCCCCGCCGCCCGCGGCCGCCGAAGGAGGTGTCGTGACGGTGTGAATACGGAGGAGGAGGACGACGACGACGATGCGCAATAAGGGGGAAGCTGTCGATCGCCGATCGAGCGTATATGAATAGATTTCTTTTCTCGTTTTCCTTTTTCCTTTTTTTTTGGCTAGATTCGATCGTACACGTGGCAATCGTGCGACAGCTGGAATCATTGTAGCTTTTTTTACACAATTTTACAAGGGGAAATTTTTTTTTTCTTCTCTCGGTGTGTATGGGATACGTGAGCAAATTTCATCCTTCCCGAACGTAGCATACACCTATCGTCTTGAAAGGCGAAATCGAATAGTGCTGATCACTCGATGTTGGCTTGCCTAATTTCGAGTCGGGCTCGAGCGCAGAGTATTTTGTTGGAGTCGAATTTGGAGACTCGAGCTCAAAAAGCTCGATGATACTCAAGCTCGACAGCTCCGGAGTCTAACCGAGCTTCCGATCATGTCTCGTTTCTTTCTTTCTTTTTTTTTTCCCTTCCAAAAATGGGTTATGATTACTTAAAAGAAAAGTACGTGGGTCGAATTTACGTATCTGATGCCCCCTGTAACTAGACAGAGCGAAGCCATTCGTGTTGGCATCGTGTCGATTGAGTGAGTCGAGTCGAGTCGAGTCCAGTTCGAGCTGTGGCATCGTGTTGGCTCGGTCCCCGATCACGCGACTTGCCCGGTAAGAGAACGAATATCGGGGCGGGGCGGGGGCGGGAATTAAGCAAAATTTCTTTCCGTGGAATTGACGGGGAGCAGCTGATGTTCCGAAGTGGCGTGCAAGTTTGAAATTCGGGGGGCAAGGAGTTTTCAAACTAGACAAATGAGGGGTCTCTGTTTTTGACTCTTTTCGGAGAGGGACAAAGGGAGGGTAGAGTGGGTTGGGCATCCTCATCCGAAGCCTGAATCTGACTTATATCATAGCGTTTTTTTTTTTTTTTTTGTCAATGACTTATATCATAGTTAACTACACAAGATTTCGACTTTGCTTGACTCATATATATATATTCTTTTCTTGTAATGAGCATGCGGTTTTTTTTTATTAAAAGAGCACTCGCATAAAGAAAAAAATTGCGTTCTACTGACGACGATTTATTGGTCTAGGGATCAAATATTAAGTAGATAATGACATCATAAATGGTCCCTTAAGTTTGACCAAAGTAATGTGATTCCCGAACTTTTAATTTGTTCAATGTGATCTATGGACTATTGGTACAGTCCAATGTAGTCTCTGAACCATATGAAAATATTTAATGTGGTACCTTCCATTCATTTAAGATCAGGAACAACATTGAACATTTTCATATGGTCCAAGGACTAGATCGAATATGTACCAAAAATTTATGGACTGTATTGAACAAATTAAAAATTCAGAAACCACATTGCATGTTGAATTAAAATTCAAGGATCACATTGAATAAACTGAAAATTCGAAAACCACGATACACATTAGGTCAAAATTCATAAATCATTTGTGTCATTTTCCCAACATTATGAAACGGAATCCGTTAAAATCTAAATAAAGAAAGATTGTTATTCACAATGCACCATTTCTCTCGTGTTTTGCGCGATCAGTGCATTGAAAATGGCAATCTCTCTTTATTACATATCGTCAACTGAGTTCCGCGAAGACACTTATTAACAAGACCCTCGAAAATATCAATTCCGACGAATGCAATCTTTGGCGAGTTAAAACATCGACCTTAGTATAGGCAAAGTGGATAAAAAGAAGGGAGCAGCACAAAAACATCATGATGTTTCACAAATTGTCAACAAAATTCTAACGAGAGCATCGATTAGGCAAAGAGGAAGCACATGACAGAAGGCTGTCGTGCAATTTGAAATTACAAGGAACTTCCCAATACCACGTTTGATCATCATCTTCTCATTTCTTCCATTGGTGATACAACCCCCATGGTCGCTCTCGCGCTTTCCGGCATCCGACTTTTCTGTGGACAATGACTATATTTCAAACAAATATGACAGAAGAACCTAATGAACCTATACCAGATGATTCGACTGTCCGAGAAATTAGTGAGATGGGCAAGCCCTCTTCCCATATCCTGTACATCTAGGGATTTATTCCCCAGAGAGAACACGGGATTCACGGTAAATCTACATTAGAAAAAGAAGATCTGTGTATTATCTACTGGGGCGTGAAATGCTGATTTCTGACCCATCTTCATCCTCGTCGCTTTGGTTCCCATGCTCCAAGGACGGACGCTTCAGTCTCTGGAATATCTCATCAAGAGACTCGTGTGAAGAAACGCGATCCAACGAGCTGCTTTCCTGAGCCTCGCGCAAAGGGATAAACCTTCTTGCTCCTATATTCGCCTTGAAACTTTGGAAACCCGTCTTCATGGACTGCCATTTCGCAGCTATTCCGGAAGATGGCTCTCCAGGTGAGATACCGGACTGAGACTTGCCACCATCAAGTAAGGATACTTTAGCAGAGGTGATGTTCTTTTCTGCAGGATTTGCTTTTGATTGTTGTCTGCTCTGTTCTCTTATCGCAGCGTACTTGTGGCTCATGGCTTCTCTGCTTGTTCCGTATCTGTGACCATCTTCTCTTGTAGACTTGGATGAACTTTCCTTGGTAATTTCGTGAATTGAACTTGCCGACTTCATCTCAACAGCAGTTGCGTCCTGAAATGTTTCGCCATTCAAAAAGACTGCCGTTAAAGTAGTAGTTAATTGATGGAAACCTTTGATAATTTTCCAGTAACCAATTGAGGAGAAATATTTCTAATGGACAGCCTCCTCGGATTCTCCTGAGCCCCTTGTGACAGCTTAAACGTTCTTTTTTTTTTTTTGGAAACGTAATCCCTGGATGAGTTCACCCATTCAACTGTGTACATCCAACTCCATTTTTTTTTTTCATAAAGAAAAGCTCGGAGAAGGTAGGGGAAGAATAAAAAAGAGGATGCCTCTGCTTTCTGAAGTAAAAGATAACGTACTTTGCTATAGCCACCAGACTCCACATCTGTGCCATTAAAATTCCTTGCCAGCGGGATAACATGCTCACCAACTTTCCGACCTTCTTCTAGCCAAGCTCGTTCTACAAGTTAAAGAGAAAAAGGGAGAGAATTACAGGTATTTAGTTTGACATACAACCCAAAGATAGCAATATTTAAGTTCAAACAACTTCTATCCAGGAGATAGAGATTTATCAAGAACTTCTATGCGATGGACTTTTTTTTTTTTTGCTATCATTTGCGGAGGATAGGTTGATGGCCCTCAGCATAGTATCTCTATGGTTAACTACCACAGTACCACTCAATATATGCTGACCTTTTTGAAGGATGATCAGTCCTGATGGGTCAAACCCGTCTGTATCATCTGCCTCTGTTTGAAATCTAAATCTCTTCCAGCTGCCAAAGAAATTAATTATTCGGTCGAAGAAGTTGCTTGCCACCAGGAGTGTATAAATGACCATAAAAAGAGGATATATTCTGTTAAATCCTTTCCCAAAAAACGGCACAGCAGCATCAATAGTGCCCATCCGCTGCAATCAGATACAGAAACAACATCAATTCTAAATGTAAATTGGAGGATTATCTACTATTTGCATGCACAGGATGCTAGAGCTCGCATTGAATGATTACGCGTTACATCAACAACTACCACCCAGACCAAGCTTTATTCTTTTACACTGAGTTTGGATACACGGATCCTGCCGATGCCATTGCACTCTATTTCATATCAAGTTTTTATCCAAATCTGAGTAGGCACAATTTTTTGCTCAAATTCAAACCACGGTCAGTGTCTTTCAAGGTCTTTCTCTCGCATTTACCAGCATCCCACCAATAGGATCACCTCACCAGAGCAAAAGGATGTCATCTTTTCACATGTCAAACCACCGTAAGCAAACTCTTATCTCATCTTAATGCAGGCCACACCAACTTTTACTTCATTACAATCATTTTCGCTGCTACCTTTCTTGAGCAAACCACATACTGACCAAAATATACATATGCTCATTTAGCAGAAACCCCTCTTTTCAGGAAACATTGCCACCACTTTTGTATCCGTACTTTAGAATAAAGATGGGAAAAGATGTCTCTATTAGCACAGCAAATGGCAAACATTCCATAAAAAAAAGCATCAGAACATCGTCAAATCAGAAGAATATCATATTCATGTCAAATCCCAAAGGCAACACCACGATCAGTGCCATTTCATGCAAAAAGCAAAAACAACTTCCTTGGAAAAGATACAAAAGAGTTTATATTACAAGGATAATTCGCTCAAAAAGCGGTAACGGCATGCACTTAGTTGGAGGGTCATAGAACGACACTGAAACTAATAATACAGTCGCAGGTCAAATCATTTCAATGGACCAAAAGGGCCAACTGTTTAATAAATGGAGCTGTGAGAGAGTACAGTAACTAGATCTCATTACTCAAAAAAAAGCAGTAAGCAACCACATATTGAATCTTAAAACTAAACATACCACAGCACAACTGAATTCAAGTTCTACACTAAGAGATATTCATAAATGCCAGCATGCATGATGTTAAAATGGAGATCACCTTCTCAAAGACTGTCTTGTCTTTGAGTTGAATGAGATTGAGAAAGTTGTATGAAATCGGAGGCGCATATCGAGCCACCATCCTGTGCCAACATCAAAGCATATCTGAATCAACTTTTACTTCTATAGGAAAAAATGAACTAAAAAATTCACTCATGACACAGAATAGCAGTTTAAGACTTACGAGCATATCATAAGCAAGTTAACTGAACTCGTCTGCCTTGGTGTTAATGAGTAAAACATCAGCATTCCAATTTTGAGCAACGAATAATACGTGCAAACGCACATATACATCAGAGGAATTAAAGCAACAACCTAAGAAAGCAGGGGAACAAACATTATCAGTCAACTCAATACTGGTCAGCCCCAAAGTAAAACAGCCATTATTAAAATGAAGTGTCCAACAACCCTACCAAATGTCATATTCTGTAAATCAGAAATAGGAGTATTAGCTTCGGGAAAAGATCCTATTCCAAACCTTTCCACATTTATTTAAACACTTCTTTCCCAAATAAATGCTAAAAATTGAAAAAAACTAAAGTCGGCCTTTTCTGTCAACCATCCATGAAAGACTAGCTGACATTGTGACAGTGCTAGTGCAGTCCTCATCTGCCAATGGGAAAACTTCCTCAACTTTCCATGTCATCAATGATGTAGCTCCGAATTGAATCTTTAAGATTTTGCGAGAAGTCATACGGAGCTCATTGTGGAAATGTAAAGGATATAGGGGCAATAAGATGGTCCATCTAAAAATGACCGATGTAATGTATGACCGATGTATTACTATGAGCAAGTCAGCCGCATAAAGGATGCAAAGTAGCCTTGTAAGTTATGACTAGGAAGAATTCAGACAAAACTTGCCAGAAGAAGTAGCTCCAAAGGTAGCTTGAGTAAGAAATTCAGCTATGGATAAATACTTGAAGGAAAATGGAGGGGTCAAAAGGCCTCTCCTATGTAACTCTCGTACACCCACTGTAGTCAGGTTTCTAGAACTTGGACCAGAAGATACATGGAGGAGGACTGGAGGAAAGCACTAGAGAAATAGAAAGTTTGATCATGGCTCAGTGATTCCCCTACACCGACTTTGGAAAGGATACATGAGAAGGAATTTACTTAACTCATCAAAATAATTGCAGCATGGAAATATTTCAGACAGTTTCATGGGCTTGATTCACTATAGATAGAAAATCGACTACTTAAAGGGTATTAAAGGAGAAACAGATATATAACCCTTTAATTGGTCTTACACTCATTCCTTAGAGCACCACTACTTCTAATTTTTTCCTTTCTACCCTTTTGCCTTCAAATAAACAACCCAGGCAATTACATTATGAACATGCCACAGCACCAATTTCAAAGGGACAATCTACATTGAGCCGTGATGATCTTCTTCATGTAGCAAAGGGGAAGACAAAACTCTAATATGAACCCAACACAAGAAGAAGATGATTTTGTGATGCAACAAGTTGAGGAGTATCACTAAAGGGTCAGCTATGGAAATCCTAATTACAGTTTCAGGACATTTAATTATCACTCCAAACATTCCACTAAGATATTCATGCCATAAGTTTTAACTAGGGAAAATGACACAAACAGTCCCTGAACTTTGGCCCAATGTGCAATGTGGTCCCCAAACTTTTAATTTGTTCAATGTAATCCCTAAACTTTAGCTTAATGTTTAATATGATCCCTGAATTTTTAATTTGTTCAATGTGGTCGTGGACTTTTGGTACATGTTCAATATAGTCCCTGAACTATATGAAAATGTTCAATGTAGTCTCTAAACTTTAATTAATTGAAGGACTGCATGTTTCATATAGTTCAGGGACTACATTGAACATGTACCAAAAGTCCAAGGACCACATTGAACAAATTAAAAGTTCAGGGATCACATTGAACATTAAACTGAAGTTCAGAGACTACATTGAACAAATTAAAAGTTCAGAGATTACATTGCACATTAGGCCAAAATTTAAGGACTATATGTGTCGTTATCCCTTTTAACTCCACAAAAGAACAGCTATTATTTCAATCAGTACACTGGAGAATGCCATGCAAAATGCACCGAGTTGATCCATTTTGCATAGATTTGCTGCCTATATGGGCATCAACTGTCATTAACAATTTTTGTCATATTAATCCAGAGCATAGGTAGGCTCAGAGGCCAAGGTTAATATTTTAGATGATAAGTGGTGACAAATGGCCCTCACATCTAAAAGGTTGGCTTTGTCTAATGAAATTACGACAAATCAATGCATCTGAAAGTGGGAAATCTACCATCTTACTAAAACTAGTAGATGGCACATAAGTTCTTATACAGGTGGCCCACTAGCACGCTAAAAGAAACATAAGGTTTGTCCAATAAAATTGAAAAAAAATGAGTATTGCAGTTTCAGCATTGACTTCTAAGTGTTAGTAACTTCAAGTGCTTCAATAGCTAAAAGTTGAAACTGAGTGTTATTGGCTTTTCACTAAGCACGAAACTGCGGGTATATTTGGAAGGTTTTGGCAATTACTTGATAACAGTCTAAATGGTATTAACGTTTTTGGATTGAATTAATTAACCCCTTCCTTTAGGTCCTCTTTAACAACTCAATTAAGTGTTTTGACAGATTCAGTTCAATAAAAATTTCACTATATGTGACAAGTGAAGAAAGATTCGCTTAATTTTTACATCATAACTCTCCTAACAAAACTATGATCTCATAACAGAAGGAGGAATTAAACCAGGAAGTGACCTATCTAAATGTGTAGACTCATTTACAGCAAGGGCAGAAAAGCCCAGTTCGCTAACCAATTGGCACATGAATTAAGGAATTACTTAATTCATTCAGTGTTAAAAAATTACCCGAAAATTAAAATTCTACCAGTCATGTTACTAGAACTTAGCAATATAATCCACAGCTCCATATTTGGAGAGAAAATGATGACATGCACATTCAATTTCTTTTTTTTTTTTTGGTCAAAACATTCAATTTCAAACTATTGTTATTTTGTTTCTATTTTCAGCACTAAAGTTCTTAATATTTGAAATTTAGTGATTGAATTTTCTGTACTTATTTTTATGTTTTATTAGGGTTGACTATTTAAGTTTTTAGAGTTTAAATAGATTATTAAGCAAGTCCTATAAATAAATTTTGGTAGAGAGAAGCTTGCAAACAGGACAGTGATTTAAAGGAAATACTTTTAGATAAGAGATCAATCAAGTGGAGAAAGTAACAATCCACCTGCACCAGCAACTCTTGCTCCCCAACCGATTTAATAAGGATTGAGATGAGAGAGAGATCAACATCCGTAGGGAGCAAAGTTGCCTCTGCTAACAGAATTGCAGCCGACATTATCCCAAGCAAGATAGCAAAGATTTTTTGAAGCTGCTTTCTCAAAATGCAACGCCAGATAAATTCTGCAAATTATCAAAAAAAAGCAAAATGAATTATGAAATAAGTTAAACTTACTGTTAAGAATTGAGGTGTAATACCAGTATCCTTCACGAACAAGGAAAGAAAAGAAATAGTTCGATGACTTCATGTACTTGTTTGCCTCAACCGTAGGGATGCATCTCCCCCATCCCAACGGCACAGTAAACCGACATGATAAATCCAGCGTGCAACTCAGATTGATGTCCCATTTCATGACAATTTGACCAAAAAGCAAGTGTCCCCTTCATTTAATGCACATGAACAACTACACAGCACAGATATCAAACATATGCCTACAGTGCTCAAGCTCTTTTAAGTAAATTTATTCCATGATACATCCCCTACCAAAACATGACCTCAATGCTCTACTACTAACCATCAGAAACAATGAAAAGGTTCCAAGGGGCAAAGCCCAAAAATAATGAAAAGGAAAATGCAGAAAAAGCACTAGAACAAGATACAGAAATAGCAGGTTATTCTGCTTCAGCATTATTTGATATGTTCCTTCTATGATAGCAGACACAGTTCATCTCTCATATTTAGCTTATTGGCACACAAGAGCTCAAATGTTAAATGTGCTTTATGCAAGCAAATATTATTATTACTATCACCGATTGAATTGAATTAAGAACTCAGGATACACTGCTTTCAGCAAAAATCAATTCAAAAGTTCCGCTTTGTTTTAGTCCAGTTACTGAGATTGACAATATTCAAGCATAAAAAACTAACATCTTCTGATGTCTTAACAAGACTAAACAGATTAATCTGAGAACTCAACTCCAACGGATTAGAAGAAGAGAATGTGAAATTACCCATAGTATCCAAGAATGCCCCCAATTGTCCAGTTCGCGCAGGTCTGAGGCTTGAGATGAACTTCCTGAATTATACAAAGCAGATACACATGAGCAAATGGAACTCTCTGTAGCCCTCTGAATTTGCCCCACATGAGCAGATATTTGGATGTAAACTACTAATTCTAGAAATTCACTTCTTGATCTCCACAAATTTAGCACGCACCTTTCGAGCACAAGTAGTTTTAATCATTTACAGCTTTAAAGAAGAATTACGCCACCAGAGAGAGAGAGAGAGAGAGAGAGCAAAATGGGGAAATGGGAAATGCATGTTATTTAGCCACTTTGTGTCCAAAGGAAAAGCATTAATCTAATTCAAAAGGAGAAATAAGAGATGCTGGAAAATTACCATCCAGTGGCATCTCGGCGTTCATAGTTTTTTATTACATCTTCTAGTTCAAGCGCCTCCAAGACATAAGTCAAATATTCACTGCAGCATTAAAAATGACTAAGTACTAGCATCAGATAAAATAGAGCTACGCAATAATGAGATATCACAACACACCGTTCAGTGGAAGTCTAGAGGAACTCAAAAGCAATCAGCATTCACCAAGTCGGATGTTCAAAGTAGTAGACGAAATCATTCAATCAGAAAGTATATCCAACATGTTGAACATAGAAAAGTATGAAAGCAACCCACTCATAAAGGCATTAGTTAGCTTTATAACTTGGGATAAAATGCAGGTTACTTGACAATCATTCCTTTCAGAATAGTTCAATGCAGAAATCTTCTGCTAATATCATTGAAGAGTTGTTTTCCTAGCTGGTGGAGGAACACGTTCCTGGATAATCCCCTTATCTTACATCCTTTTGATCTAAAAATCATATGCCTCCTTTTATTTTGGATAATGGAGTTCACATTCATCAAGATAGAGAGAGTCGCGGGCCTTCCTATGTTAACAGATTCTTATAATCCCAGAGAATTTATTATCCCTTTTTTTACCCTATTATGGCTTCTTTCTCCACTGGGCAAAGCATTCCCAGTCCATCCAACCAAACCTATGAATCAGGATTCAGCTACCTTTATTGGACCCCTAATCAGTATGGCATTTCTATAATACCCTTCTATTAGAGGAATGAATGCAACATTAGCCTGAGCAAAAGAAGAGATAATTCCACAGGAAAGCATTGTAGAGTCCCCACCCTTGCCAGTCTCGTCTAATATACTTATCCCAAAAGGATCAAATTGTCCAAACCCTTCTCTTTTTCGTTAAGTCAGACGTTTTTAGGACAGTTTATGTTGGTAATTTCAGCTCCTCCTAACAGATATTCTGCATATCATGAACCTCAAGGATGACAATTTCTACACCACATGGAGGAGGTTGGAATTTGCGTTAATGGTGATTGTGTCGAAATTATGTCAACCTACTTGACACAATTAATAAATGAGTTGCTTTTGACTTGAAACATCAACCTGCAACTCATAATTGCCCCATCTGACCTATTTAGCCAAATAGGCCGTGACAACTTGATTGATGACTTGTGGCCTATTTGATTTAGTTGAGTTAATTTTTTGATGATTGCTATTTACTGGTACAACTGTTAATCCACCTTAGCTGGATGAGCTAACACTACACCCTATGGCAAGATCGTCGATAGATCTTTCGTGCATTCATTTGAAGTTCATAAACCAACCCCTGATCTTGTCAAAAACCAGTTTCTTTTCCAGAAGTCTAGGCCCATTTGGCATGGCTGTAGCATTCCCTAGAGCAATGATTTATGACTTCTGAAATTGCTTATGATCGTTATTACGTGCCATGCTTGGAAGTTGATTTTCAAGCACGTCAACATCGCATAGGAAATAACCATTTAAAGGAACTACACATATTTTGATTTATGCTAAAGTTGAGTAAAAAGCTAATAGTGATGGTTTTGATCAGACAAGGAGTGCTTGGTTACAAAAGCACAAATAAAAAAAAGAACCCCACATACCAAAAGCTGCGAAAATACTCCAAAGGAAGCAAATGCAAATTAAATGGTCCCGGTTACCTTTTATAGCGGTAATACTCCTCTCGAGCTCCCCTTAGATGACGCCTAAGGGTTGCCATTGACTTCTCATCTGTATCATAGTCCATATCATTTTCTCCTAATCTTCCACCCTGGGGTTTGAAGGATGGATCTTCTCTAAACTGGAAAAGAGAAACAAAAAGCAAATTGCTCAAAAAACAAGGCCGAATTAGTTAGTGGTTCCTAGAACATCAGATTTTTGGGAAAGTTACCATTTGAGTTAGCATATCAGCAATAACGTCCATGTAAGGCCTCAAAGGATCACGTTTTGACATTTGATTGGAAGTAGCTTGAGCTACCTATAAAACAACATACATATCAACAAACTAGAGAATCTCAATATATATACTCTATCAACAAAGAACAAGCTGCAGGCTATTGGTTTCCCGGTAAAATCATTAGAGTTGCTCACAGCCAATACAGTCATCACATCAAAAGACTTTCCTTCCTTATCAACAGATTGTTCCATTTATACATCTTGTAAGAAATTTAGTGAATAAACAGCTAAATTAATGACCTAGTTTTGCCATATCTTCTTCCACCCTCCCAATCAGATGAACTCCAGTTACTTTTGATAGCAAACATAGTGCAGCTTTGTAAGACTTCAAAGAAGAAAGATCTGATGGTTGAGATGAAGACCCTTATTATAGAAGGATTGGAGAGCATTCAAAGTGGCTGAATTGGTCAATGTTGGCTGCAAAAACCAGTTAATCAAACTAAAGTTGGTTCTACCCATGAAAGCTACTCCAAATGGAGGCATATCTGTCTGAACGGGTAGCAGACACCCCACGCTTAATTTGGTAGATGGATTCGTAGGAAGAAGCCGAAGAGAGAGTAGGTCAAAGATGAAAATGCTCTTGATTTAACAACAAGAAGACCACCGATGGTACAAGATCAAAAAATGCATGCTTCATTAGCAGCCTGTTACATACTTGAAACACTACACGGCCTGACTACTAAAACCAACGTGAGAACAAGAATGAATACAAAGCAAAAGTGACAAAAAAATCCTTAACAGAACAAAATTGATATGAAGCAATGAGTTCAAAAGTTGATCATTCACCAACACAAAATATTGACAAGGTAGAAGAATTCCACTAATGGCCTCTAAGACTAGAAAGCAGAAAGCACTCACTACTATGGCATTAGAGAGTTCTTGGTGAGCATCATCAAGTTTAACAGCCATTTTAGCTACTTTATGAGAGAGAACTTTTTGTCGGGTGGTCCAGTCTGCATTTCTCCAAATGCTTTTGGGTATTTCACTTAAGCCGAAACCAAGAAGAAAAGCCCCTGTTACGAGCCCAAAAGTGTTTGAACAGGCCATTGCTAAACCAAGAACATCATGACTCCTGTCAATAAAAATAAACAGGACATAATAATGTAAATTTGCTGAATTATCACAACTATACCTAAAGAGGGAAATAACAAAGAGAAGCAGCAACAAACTGCTGTAGCAAAGACTAAATCACAAAAAGAACAGTCATGCTATGCAAAAAATATAAAACACTCGGTTCCAGCACAAGATCGACTTTTTCAGTTAACCTGCAACTAAAGATGAACTCCCAATATACTATATTCCGGTCATATTTCTCAAGCACTTTAGCAATTCCAAGCAATCACTAAATACCTACTACTACTTTGCTCACTTCTCCGGGCCATGCTCACCTACCTTACATGAACTCATGAAGCTATCACGATTACCCAGAACTGATTTCAATCGCTAAGAAGGCATTCTCTATAAGTTATACCTGACTATCATGAGGGTGAGACATTCTCCATAGTACAATGGCAAGAGCGAATCAAATTAAACGAACGTCATTCACACCTAGTGGATATTGCTTGAAAGGAACAAACTTACCAATTACTGTGCATCATGATGAGAAGAATAATGCCAATGAGGCCAATGGATCCAACAATTAGGTAAAAGACTAAGTTCACGTGTATGCTAGTCTTAAATCTTTCCTTCACAGTAAAATCTCCAGCATCTTCAAACCCCTGAATTAGAGGAGCAACAGCCCTGCATAGAAAAAAATGATACTGGCTTTAAATTCAACATTAAGGTAACAAGGATCTATATCTCTAAAAAAAAAGAGACTATTAATTTTAAAGAGTTAAAGATGCCAGTGTAATTGCATTGGAGCTCTTTGTTGGTCCTGCTGCTATGCTAGATGGAGCCACAGACTACAAAGCTATGAACAAGGGGACACTAGAAAAAGAAAGCCAATCCAGTGCAAAGAAGAATAATGGAAGCTGAGTAATAAAACTTTCCCAGGACCAAGGTCTAGCAACATACTTTAGAGCTAATTATCCTCAAAATATAACTATTTCTAACTAGGCGATCAGTTTCTAATCAACAGAGAGGCCAACCGAATTAACACATCCAAAATCACTGCAATAAACACTCAAGAAGTAGAACTTGAATCCCAGCATCAAATAAAACTATGTGTAGCTAAGAAAATCATAAGCAAAATGCAAACTCAAATACAATTCAGCTCAGTCAAAATAATAAAGGCGAAGTTATCCAATCTCATCTGAAAGAAACCAGATCAACTAAAGGGCATCATTGTTCATGCAACTGAAATTTTTCTCAGGTAACTCAAGGCATGGGCTTCACATACGCAGATTGCCAAGCAATTTTAAGGAAGATTTCCAAATGGAAAACACAGAAACAGTTCTTTGACTTTGAGGATGCAGCAAATCAGGAATTGATTATAAAACTTAGCAGTCCGATTTTTTAGACCGCCGCCTTTTTTCGGGGAGATACTTGAAACGGATGACATAATTAATAAGTTAAGTGCAAACATGAAAATTTTCCTTTTTGATACGTTACGTCAACATAACATACCAAGTCAGTAAAAATGTACTCCAGTATGACCAGCTCCAGAAGAATGAAATGCCTCCACCACCATGATGAATATTTGTCTGAATGGGCAAGAAACAATACTTGCATTTCAGCAATACAAGTCGATGTCAATAAAAATACCACGTTTACGAATTATTGTAGATGGAACTGTGATACGTACATCCAAACTACCATCATTCTAGCAGCTAATACAAAAGCATAAAAACAAGATTCCCTCAAACACAAAGTATCCTTTCACAATCTGCCTGATAATCAACACACTAACCTACAGCTTTGAGACATGTCAACTGAAGTGAAGTGGTTAATTTGTGGAACTAGAGGCCTGATCATTCACAAGCGACTGAAAATCCATACCAGGTATCCATGGAAACACACTCTTCCCTCAGACCCAGAATATTCAGCAACCGTATTGCAATGGGGAAGCAAAATAATGAGATTAAAAAGTATATCTCTGTGTTTGTATGAAATGATATAGATCCAAAGCAATAATGCCAAATGAATTCAGTATGGAGCATACTTGCAAGATTATGAAAAATCGGAGGAATGAGACTCTAGGTTCAAGAAGTAAAGACGTAGTTCTAATCATTAAAAGCACTAGTTGCATGCCCATGCACTGCATGGGTTTATATTCAGGAACTTTCTAAAGTCATCATTCTCATACATGACTAGGAGAATTAAACAATCTATATGATCAGTAATATCTTAATCTAAGATGCTGCCTAAAGATTCAAGTATATGAATAAATCAATATACTTTATGGTTGGCTGTGGATGTCCGTTAAATGACCTGATTACTATCGTAATCAATTTAAAGATGTTAAACTTGACACAATTCGCAGTCAATCTCTATTGGATTTGGCCCAAAATATCCACATTGGGGGAAGCAAATCATCTTTCATAATTGCTAGACTTCATTGGTGATAATTTTATCTATAAGCATAAGTTAATTCTCTCATTGATGAACCTATCAGTTAGTGGACAAATTAACAGGATATAGCATTGATTGGTTGCTTTGCTTCGTTCTCTATTAGAAAACCCAAACATGCATTATCATCATGTGACATTGTTAGACCCTCCATGTCTACTTTAGCTAAATATTAGGTAAGAAAACTCCCAAGTGCCCATGTCTCCCTTAACTAGGTACAAGAACTCCCCAGGTTGGGATAATACAGCACAGGTGTGCGGATGAGGAAATCTTAGTCCCCTTCTATGTTGGAGTACATTTTGATTTAGCTAAAAAAAGATCACTACCTTAAGGTGGGATTATGCCAGCATAAGAAAAAACCTGAAGTCGAGCCAATTTCACTTATATTCCAACCATTATTTATCTATACTTTTTTTAATAGTCTCATTCAATCATAAAGGAGGGGCAAAACACACTTTACGGTTCCACAAGAAGTTGTATCCACAAAGGAAAGTTGGGCCAGGGAGATATGGCTAAATAGTTTAAGCAGGCTACTAAATTTCACAGAAATTAAGTACTAGATTTCCACAGAAAAGTAATTCACAAGAAGCCTAAGAAACTTTTCAACTCTCCATGAGATATTCTTTTAACCCGCTAAAACCACAAAAGTACAACACTGGGGAATAATGCGTCGCAGTCCAAATACAGTCAAATAGGAAGAATCAAAGTCCCACCAATTACATGCATACTTTGCCTCACAGGCTAAAACTTACACCAACTATTACACAATGGCACAACTGGGCTAAACTATATTCCCTCAGAGTATGTGTGGCATAAAATAAAATAAAAAAACCTCGAAAGTTGCTATCAGGAGATAGGACACACATGCTAGTTGATGCGCTCTTTCTAAGGAATAAGACCATGCTAATCCTATTCTGCTACTTCATCCATGGATGACATATGAGGGCACATAACAGTCACCGTCTGGGATTTCTTTTTGTGTGAACAGAAGTGATAGAAAGGAACTTTAAGAAAAATTACCAAAAGAGGAACTAGAATTTTAATTAGAAGCCCTACATTTCCTGGTTTCTGGGAAGAAACATATTCAAGAGCATTCTCAGGGAACAGAAAAGAGAGTCTTTAAAGGAGTGGAATGAGATTTATACCGATTAACTTAATTCTTCGTCATTGACTTTTCGTTTCAACGATATACAAAACTTGTTCAAAGGAGTGGAACAGGATATAATGATGATTAACTGAGTCTTCATCGTTGACTTTTCGTTTCAACATCATAGATGACTTGAGACATTACAAATGATCACCCAAGTGACAGTATTTGATTTTTGGTATAGGGACACTCCTCTTTATGCCACCAGTCATCAACCAAAAGAGACCAGAAAAGGAAAACTCTCGTCCATTTTAAGTAATCTTTTGCATTGCACCAGTGGATTTGATTCATACTGTTGCAATGAGTATAACCACCTAGGATAAGCTCTCCATTTTCTCTCCAAAACCACATTTAGTCTGACAGCAAGGGTAGCATGTGAGAGATCAAAGAAGAAAGTGGGGGAATCAGAATGGCACTGCCGAGGAGTCAGATATTTTGAAGAAATTGTTCTTCCAAGCTTTCATTATTTCGATGAATCAAATAGTTTCACATAAGAAAAGGGTGGTAGGGACAGTTGGGATTTGCTACCTTTGGACTTGGCTGACTTATAAGATTGAGGCAGGTTTGATGAAGGTCGGTTGGTTTGGCTGCTAGCAGCAATCATCCTTCATGTCTATGGCATGGAAAATTAAGTAGATGTGAACTAGAAGCTACCATATGCCACTAAAAAGTACATATGACAGCCACCTCGGCAATTAGCAAGTATTTGTAGATTTGTTTCGAGGTAAGTGGGTAGCTGCACGATTTGAAAGGACTGAGGTCATCTGTGATTTCATCAAAAGATTCAAACCCAGCAATATGTCACTTTTGTAACATAGCAGATATCTAAGAAAATTAATACTACAATTCACCCCCCAGATAGAGCCTAAGGTTAAAGCATTGGTCCAGTCCTTCTTAAGAATGTAAGGTATCTCTTCCCTGGCAGTTCATAGCAGGTTTCTACCAGCAGCTATCCAGATGAAAAGGCATCCTAAGTCGAGATTGAGAACTTGAATTCCAATATTAAAGGACAGAGATCCAAAAATCTAACGCCCCGACCTAGAAGATATTATCAATGAAAGAATCACTACAGGCGATTGAACTGTAATAACTCAATAGAGTCAGCAAAATCGACGGATAAGGGATAGACCCTCCCTTTTCAGATTAAAAGGTAGCATGATACAAAACGGGATAGACCCTCCATTTTCAGATTGAAAGGTAGCACGATACAAAACCGGAACCATAACAAATGTAATGATACTCCATAATTGACGGTTCAAGTTACTTAGTTAACCATTCACACATGGGTGAGCATTGAAACCAAACCCAAAATGTATCTCTAATCTAAACTAGAACGTAATAAAAAAAGAAAATGCCAGATAAGAACAAATGGAGCTCGGCAATATGCACAGAACCGCAGGAGCAGCTAAAGACCTAGTTTCTACCCCAGCCGAGCCCTCGCCTTTGTGTGATTCTACTCTCGCCTTCCTCGAATTTCACGAGCATATCACATAAGCAGTCGAGCCAGTGCACGTATCACATCAAATGCGCTTCACGAAGCATTCGTCAATCAACCAACTACAGAAAACCAGCGAAGTTGAGAACAATCTCGCTGATTCGGAGCTATTGCAACCAGAATCGGGCACCGCGGACCATAGAATTATAGCACGGGGCATGCAAAGGAAGAGAGATCGCAGGAGCGTATCCATGGTACCGCGTACCGTCCAGATGTCGGCGGGGACGAGGATGATGATGGAGAGGGAGCAAAACCAGGCGTAACCGACGGTGAGCAGGACGTACCGGGGCACCTCCGGCCCGGCGAAGTACCTCAGCGTGAACACCACCATGCCCACCGTCAGGGGCAGCGAGATCAGGTAAAACACCCACATCTCTCTCTCTCTATCCCTCGCTCTCCCGCTCTCTCTCCCTCTCTCTCTCTAGCCTCTACCGCGACTGATGTGGCGCGGATGCGGCGCCGACGGAGCTAATCCCCGACGGCGGCGGCGACGGAGTACGGAGGAGCTGCGAGCGCCGGCCGGTCGATCGCCGTCGCGATGCGGGGATGCGAGGAGCCTTCGAGAGACCGATACGACGCCCAAGGAGACGAAGAGAGAGAGAGAGGTGGGCCCCGCGTTCCTGACGAGAAATGGGATCCAACTCCCGCGGGCGAAATGGCGTTTTTTCTTTTTCGTTTTCTCCGTTACTTCACGTTTCTGTCATCTTTTTGGCGCTTTAATTAATTACTAATTAATTCATTAAATTAAATTAAATTAAAGGGGTTCGCACGCTCTTGTGATTTGGAGGAGTGCCACGTAAGTAATCCACCCTTTTTTTCTCCCATTTTAAATATATATTGATAAAAAAAATTTAGTAAGATTTGCAACCTTCTTCTCTCTTTTTATTTTGTTTTTTTCGATACGTGACATGTAATCCACCCAATTAGTTGTGGGAGGACAAAGCCCCCACTAAGTTTGAGGTCCGTGGGAATATGCAAGGTCATTTCCCCAAAAAGTCTCTGGATCAATGTGTATTTGCTTAAAATAAATGCCGTTAGTGACTTTCAATAAAAAAAAAATTTAGATAAGTACATTGAAAGTCTTAAAACTTGTCACGAAAGTGCAATTTAGTCTTAAATCTTTCAAAAAGTGCAATCTAGTCTTAAAACTTATAACTAACGTGTAATTGAATTCTAAAACTTTCAAAAAAATACAATCAAGTCATAAAACTTGTCAAATTGGTCTGATCAAGTCATTTCATTTATTACACTTTTTGAAATTTTTAGGATTCGATTGCACTTTCATGACAAATTTTAGAATTTGATTGTACTTTTTTGAGGATTCTGTAACTTGATTGCACTTTGGTAACAAGTTTTAGGACTTTCAGTACACTAATCCCAAAAAATTTTGTAAAGTAATTTTGAAATTAATTAAAAAAAGAGGAAAAACAAAGGGCCTACTGGTCATCGTCTCCATTGTGGGAGCATAGGGCCGCCACAAGCCCAAGCAAGGGCTTTGAGGTCGCGCGACCCAAGTGTTGCAATGCCACGATTGCACAGCCTTAAGCAGCATAGATCTATAGACAAAAGGCTCGGTCGACCTTCAACCTTGACAACGCTCAACACGATGACCATCAACCTCGGTGGCCCTTGGCAACTTTCGGCGTCCCTCGACTCACCAGATCTCGTTTGAGCCCCGACCCCTTCCAGATCTCGCCTAACAGACCTGTGATCGTCGACGAGGCTTGACGGCCCTCAATGACTATCGTCAACGGTCTGCTGACCTCGCGCGACACTCGGCGGAGCTTCGTCGATGACCCAAATCTACATCATCGGAGAAGATGGCTAAGAGTGGAAAATGAAAATATCAGTAAGGGCAATTTTGGAAGAAAAAAAGTCAATCAACCCTAAGAGCTGCCTTCCAAAAATACTGGTCTTGCACTTTGGGCTTCGTCAATACTCGCTTTCGCTCAATGCACTTCAAAAAAAATTACCAAATGCAATCTAGCTTGATTGGAGCCCTAAATTTTATAAATTTCTCGATGGAGTCCAAAATCACAAGCTAAAATCATGACCTTAGTAATAGCTAAAACACATCCATCCTCGAACTAAAGCCTGTTTCGTGTGAGGCGAGGGATTATGGCGGATATGCCTTGGTGGATATGCCATCGAAGTTTTTTTTTTATAATTATTTGTAATTTCTAATTATAAAAGGGTCGCGCTTTTTCCACTCCCACCGTGCTAAAACACTCATTACTACAGTGTTTTGACAATATTAACCCTTGTGGGTCCCATCTTTTTTAAGAATCCCTTCTTGTTCGACTGTGGTGTCATGTTGTTTCCTTCTTTATTTTATCTCGTGGGTCCCATTTTCCTCTTTCATTACTTCTCTCCATTTTCCTCCTTCGTTACTTCTCTCCTTAAGTTCTTAAATTTGGTCATAGTTCAAACATTGGTGGTATACGTAAAAAAAAAAAAAAATTCTCTTTTGTGGTCTATCTCTGTCACTTGTCGTCCAAACCACGTTGCACTCGTCGATTTTTCAATCGTTAACCTGAATTTGATACCTTGGCTTCCGCATTAAACCTTACGCCTATCAGAACACGGGGATTCGAACTATAAACGGGCAATAGGGCCACCTCATCGCATAAGGGCTTAGACTTAAGAGTTGAGTTCGCAATTACCTCTTCAGTCCTCTCAATCACCAGCGGCGGCAACTTGGTAATTAAGATCGGCGCGGAAGTAAGAGAGACCGCAAGGGTGAGGAGGGGGGAGATTTGAGCCATGTATTTGGAGATTGGTAAGGGATGGCGAAATAAAAAAAAATCGCGATGACAATTAGGACCAAGAAGACAAAGATGAAGAAGTAGTGATTGCTTATGAGCTTGATTAGTTTTTGGGGTGAGGGCTTCAGCTCTTGGATTTGAATCTTTAATGGGTTTTTTTCTTGTCTTTGTAATCGATCAATCGAAAATTTTGATGCGAAATGGGATAATTCAAATTTGACATGACATGGAAGAGGACTAGTTGGGTGAAGAGGAGGTTTCTGCAATATGGGCTTCAACACAGATTATTGACACGAGAGGGATGTATTAGAAAGAGAGAGCACGCAGAGAAAAAAAATGAGAAGAAGGAAAGTGGTCTTGCTAGAAAAGAGAAAGAAGAGAAGCAGTTGAAGAATGTTTAAAAAAAGTGGGACTCACAAATTTTAATATTGTCAAAACATTATAAGAGGGAGTGTTTTAGCCATAGTAGGAGTGCAAAAAGCACGACCCTTATAAAATAAATGTGATTATGACATTATTTATAACGAGGAGAAGGACCTTGTTATATTATATTATTACAATAAACAAGGGTCTTGTGGGTGGATCTTAATCTTCAAGTAGCATCGACATCGATACTGACACGCAACACGCGACACTGCATAACATACTGACATGTCATTTCTTTAAAAAATAGAAAATTCCGACACGTTAAGATACGAATGTATATAAATTATCATTTTTATGATTATTTCAATCAAATTAATTTAATTAAAATTCATAAATAAATAAATAATAGAAAAAGAGTGTCAAACGAGTGTCGGTGTCTGACACATATGCCTGACATTGACACGGAGCCCCTGGAGAGTATCCGTGTTTCTTAGCTTAATCTTAAAAAACAACGGTCTAATGGGCTGATTTTACAGAGTCAAACAAGCCCAAACCTAAACATGGAAAACGATGGCCCCGCGTTACTCATATTGAAAACTTTTCGAGCTTGCGCTCTTACAAAAGCCAGACCGTAAGAAAAGGGCAAAAGCTAACAAAATCCTAAACTATATTTACGGTGATATGTTTATTCTAAATTTTTTTTTTGTGATACCAGAAATCTCAATGTGTGACACATTTACCTCCTGTCAAAGTGCTATCAATGTGAATCGTTAAAAATATGTTTACATGGACGCCAGAAAGCACTTGGCACCCTTTGTAACTAAATTGAAATAGGGAAAATTACTAAAATAGTCATAAACTTATTGCAATTGTGCCAATTCAGTCCTAAACTTTTTGCTTTGATACCAATTCAGTCCATTCGACCAATTTTGGCCAACCAGTGCCGACGTGGATGCTGTTCAGGCGCCGACCGTCCGGTCAACACTGACGTGGCAAAAAAATATATTTTTTCAATTTTTTTTTATTAATTTTTTATTTTTTTATTTTCTTTCTTTTCTTTTTCTCCTTCATCTTCTTCAACCTCTCACCAGTTGCCGGACTGGCGACCGGCTAGAGGCTAGGGCTAGTGAGGACGAGTCTCGCCAGATCTGGCGACGATGGATTCCGGCAAGCCGGGGCTTCGATCTGCGGCGGGCGCGGCTCTCAAGTTCACACCTTTAGCCCTCCTGTCGATGTTCTGAAGCTTGGGTTTTCCCGTTCGTATCCAAGGGTTTTGGGGTCCCGTTCTTTGAGTACGATGGTCGGGCGCACACTTGTCCAGGTTTCGACCGGCCTGACGTTGTTGAAGCTGAATGGCCTCCCCCCTCGCGACTCTCCGAATTGCTTTGCTTGCCCTGCCTCCCTGCCAAACCCCAGAAGCACAGATGCCAAGTCTGGGCGGCGGAGTCCGGCAACGCGAGGCACGTGCAACAACCCCCATCTTCGCCCGAGTAACAGAGGAGGACCCCGATCGCGGTCGTGCTGGACGTCCCTCACACCATTTGGCAACAGACGTTGCGCCCGCTGAGCGATCACGGGTTCGGCCGAAGAAGCGTCTAGGAAGGCGGGGTCGGATTGTTCCTAGTGTCGGGCGCCGTGCTCTTGGCGTTGAACTTGGCTTGGTTGAGGGTGACCGGCGAGGACAAGAACTTGCCAGATCTAGCACGGCTCGTCCTCGCCGGCCACTGGTGAGGTCGGCCTCTCCCAATTGCGACGTTGTTGGGCAAGGACGACTTCGCCGGCGACCTCGCCCAGCGACGTTGCTGGCGAGCGCTCATCCTCATCGTTGCTTGCTGGCCAAGGTTGGGCTTGCTCAAAGCGACCGACAAGGCTCATCCTTGCCGGCCGCTGGCGAGGTCGGCCTCGCTAGCGGCCAACTGGGCCAACCTCGCCGACCCCAGCCTCTGGCCAGTCGTCGGTCTGGTAACCGAGTAGAGGTTGAAGAAGAAGGAGGAGAAAAAAAATTCGAAAAATTTTAAAAATTAATAAAATTTTTGAAATTTTTTTTTGTCACGTCAACGTTGGCCGGACGGCCAGTGTCAGATAACGTCCACATCAACACCGATCGATCAAAATTGGCCAGATGGACTGAATTGACATAAATGCAAAAGGTTTAGGATTGAATTGGCCAAAAAAAAAGTTTAGGACTGAATTGACACAATTGCAATAGGTTTAGGACTGTTTTAGTAATTTTCCCATTGAAATAAAAACAATGTTGTTTTGGCCGAAAAATCATCTAACGAAATTTTGACGGAAGGTAAATATGTTACATGGGTACAAGTTTGGGGTAAATGTGTCACAGTGGGTATAGTGTTTGGGGTTTTTGATGTCACAAAAAAAAATTTAGGGTAAATATGTCGCAATGAGCATAGTTTGAGATTTTTTGTAATTTTTTCCGGTAAGAAAAGGAGGTTATTCAGAGGATCTTTTTATATTTTAATATTGTATTATAAAACATATACTCCTTAAAAATACATAAATGGGAAGGATTCGCGAGGCGGGGTAGGGCTAGGGGTGGGAAGGGCTAATATTGGCCGCTGCCTCGCCCCGTGCCCATCGGGGCATTTTTCCGGAGAAAAATTTGGCCGCTCGGGGTTTGTGCCCCTTGGGGCACGGGTTCCTCGGGTCATATGACCATCCCTTGTCACCGTGATACAAAACCTCTCCGGTTTATAACCCAATTTGACAGGAGAAGAGCACACACCAAACTCTAATTTTCTATTCCCGACATCGAATTGGATCATCTTCCCCATCCTTTCCTCGTGGGGTCGAAGGTTCTCGTGAATGAACTTTTCGCAGCATGCCTAATAGTAGCAGCTCTGTTAACTTTTCCCACACGGAACAAGATCCCCCCGTCCCTTTCCTCAACCTCCGCCATAGTTTTTCTTGTGCATGTCTTTGGACTTTTGAGCTTATGGTGGTCCGGTTGGATCTTTGTTGTTGCTCTTTGATTGAGCCTTCCATGGAGATGCGGGGCCCGGGTGACCGGACTTCGAGGTCGGGGGCATCCGATTACTAGCGTGGAGTACCCGATCCTTTTTCTGACCGTGGTTCGGGCGACTGGAGATACTTGTGTGAGCGCCCCCATCAATGGTGATAGAGATCTAAAAATTAGCCATTTATTGGTGAATTAAGCTTGATTAGTATAAATATGTCGCTCTCTAGATTGTCCGAAGTTGGAACATGAACGCGACCCAACCTCTTACTTACTCTGGCTCTTATTAACGACATTGCAATCATATCGTTGAGCAAAATTCATTGTACTAGAGCGAGCAATACTTAAGTAAGAGCTCCGTTGCCACGTCGAGAGCGTATCGAGAGTTGGACTCCAAGATCTTCCGACCATGGCAATCAAGTTTCGATTAGTGAACTGGGCAAAACTCGTGAATAGATTCGGGGAATGGAGTAGCACTGATCGAGGCCGAACCGCTATATAATCGGCTAGGCATTTCTCTTTCGCTCTTTATCTCTTTTACTTTACGCGCGCCATGTGTGTGGTAATTTGCTTGCTCGTTATTTGTGTTTATTTGTTCGATATTTTGGCTTAAACGTTCGATTATTTGGGCAAATGGGAATATGAACTTGGCATGAAAATATCAAAAAAATAACTTTGACTGTTTTGGCACTTTTAATTCAATTCCGTTTAATTTCCTCGTAATTCAAAGAAATAACTTTAATAAACTGTGTTACAGACCATACATAATTTTATTAAAATTCATACATTTTTCAAAATAAGTGAAGTCAGTTTTTGTTCACCGTAATTTTTCGGATACATAAATCAGATTACTTAAACAAAATCATTATGCTTTAATCAATGAAAACATACTTATCAACAACATGTATCTTTCAGAGTGGAACTTATTCGGTCAAAACCATAAGCTGTACTTAGTTATAAATGAACGTTTCCTTTTCCTATCCACTTTCATATGCACACACACATATATATCTTTTTTCATAACTATTTTGAATTTAAAAAATATATCAAAAAAATAAGTGAAATATGTTCATGTAATAAAATAACATGTACTACAAATTACAAAAATATTAATACTTGAACCTCCAGCCACCGTCATGATTCGCTCTTGGTTTTATATTAATATACCCTTATGAACAGCCGAGAAAAGAGAATCCTATGTCTAACTGCTAATAACCTCACTTGATGGTTGTACGTGGTGGTTGGGAAGAAATTTCTCGGAAATCGGATTATCGCAAAAAATAAATAATATTAAAAATATATTTTTAAAATGATCGTTTGTGTTGTTTATATAGAAAATTTTCATCTTCAATGAAAACGATCAAATACAAATTGTTGTCGATGATAGAAATATTTTCTATTGACTAATTATTTCAAACGATTTTAGGAACATATTTGTCAAATCATTTATATTCTGTGAAACAAACAGAGTAATAGTAGAATATGAAACGAATAAAGTTTCCTGAATGGACAAGGAAGATAAAAGCCGAGTTGCGGTGCTTAGCACGCCAATGCCAAAAACGGCTAAAAAGACCTTTGAGGTTGCTGGAAGGTTAAGCTCAAAAAGCTGACTCTCTATTATATGAATGTATGGTTTAAGCTTTGTTTGTTTCGTGAAAAATAAGTGATTTTGATGATATTTTCCTAAAAAGTATTCGTCCATGTCGCTTAAAAATATGAATGAATGAAAAATATAAAAAATGCAATTCAGTTTTAAAACTTATTACGAAAATGCAATGAAGTCCTAAAATTTGTCACGAAAGTGCAATCAAGTCCTAAAACTTTCAAAAAGTGCAATCAATGTTAAAACTTATCAAATTGGTCTAAGTAAGTTCATTATACTTTTTGAAAATTTTAGGAATTGATTGTATTTTCGTGAAAAGTTTTAAGGTTTTTAGTGCACCTATTTCAATATAAAAAAATTACCCCGAGTCAAAATCGATTTTTGGGCCTTCTCGGGGGCATGCATGAAACTAATTTATTTTTCTGTTTTTGTGAACATGCTCAGAACAGAAATAGGTTTGGAAGTGAATATGAAGTAACAATTTTATATTTCTTAAATAAAAAAGAAATATAAAATTTTCTCATCGCTCGCCTCCCGCCTCCCGCCGCCGCCTCCCCTACCAGCTGTCACCTCCCGCCAGCCGCCACCCATCGATGAATGGAAAAGAGCATAAGGTGGATAAATTTTATATCGTTTATTTTTGTTCAAAAACTCGCCCAAAGAATAAAAAAATAGAAAAATCTATTTTTGGCCCCAAAATGCATTTCTGGCCCCAAATTTTATATCGTTTATTTTTGTTCAAAAACTCATCTAAAGAGTAAAAAAATAAAAAAATCTATTTCCGGCCCAAAATGCAATTATGTAACAAGATAATTATCATTTTGCTGTCTTGTCCAAACAATCCCACTCCTCTCGGCTTTTATTCCCCGACGCCGCCACTGTTATTCCTGAACAAATAATAAATTAAATTAAATATTCTCTTTTTCTTGACGACATAAAATCCACCTACTCTCCACCTAATATCTCTCCCCTCTCTCTCTCCTCTCCGACGCACCAGCGCGCACAAACACGCAGCGACGCAGATGCCAACTCACTCACGCGCCGCCCCCCAGCACCGCCCCAGCCGCAACCGCAACCGCCGGCTCCAACCCCGCCCCCATCCCCCCCGCCGCCGCCGCCGCCGCCGTCGCCGCCCTCCGCCTCCGCTGATCGAAGGGAGCGACCGACGCTCGCCGCCGCCGCGGGTCGGTTGGGGGGCGCGCCAGCCATGTCGGAGAAGGACGTCGTCTGGAAGACGTTCCGGGCGCTGGTGGAGAACGCGGACCGCAAGTTCGGGCGCGTGCGGGACCTGCCGCCGCACGAGCGGGGCCTCGGCCACTACTTCCCCAAGGTGTTCAAGTCCTACATGCGCCTCTGGAAGTACCAGCAGGAGCACCGCGCCCGGCTGGTGGAGTCCGGCCTGAACCGCTGGGAGATCGGGGAGGTCGCGAGCCGGATCGGGCAGCTGTATTTCAGCCAGTACATGAGGACCAGCGAATCGAGGTTCCTGGTGGAGGCCTACGTGTTCTACGAGGCGATCCTGAGCCGGAGGTACTTCGAGGGGACCGGCGCGAGGGATCTGGGGGTGAGGGCGAAGGAGCTGAGGTTCTACGCCAGGTTCCTGTTGGTTTCCTTGATCCTGAACCGGACCGACATGGTGAAGTCGCTCGTGGAGCGGTTCAAGGCCGTGCTCGACGATTGCAGGGTCAATTTTCGGGTAAATTAGTCAAACTCTTTTAGCGGCAGAAGCAACAAAATACTCTCTTTCTCTCTCTCTCTCTCCCTCTCTTGCTCTCTCGCGGGCGCGCGCGCCCCCACCCATTTGATGCGGGTTGACGAGCTGTGTTTGGTGCTCCAAAAGGGGGGAAAATGAGAACAAATTGCTGCCTGCGTAGATAATTAGAGATATAATATGCGGAGAACAATGAATTTGTGCTTCTTCTGCTCTGATTCTATCGACATGTGACTGGACAATGATGATTCAGGAAGGCAAGACCCCCTATAGGCTATGTTCGTGCTCAAATGTTAGAGCGAAAAATTAATGGCGAGTTCATTTTTTTTATTGGTTAAAGCTGTTTTTGGCCTAAATTTATAGAAAATAGTTAGGGCCCGTGTACCTTTCTAACCATGTCAATGCTGAGTCGTGTTTGTTGTCTTACTAATGGAGAAGGCAAGAGAAGTTACTCACGACCATGAGTGGTTTTGAGCTACGATCTTACAAGAAGGTATCAGATGATCGAGGCTGGTTTAGGGAGTATCTTATGTACAGTTTATTCCTTTCGAGAATTAGTTGCAGCGCCGGATGTAAGTTACCAACATATGTAGTCGAAAGCCAACATAGTCTTTAGATGGATGTTTATTGGCGGTCCCTTCAAACTTTACACACAAGAACCATTTGATCATTAGAAAACAGCAGCAACTCTAAATTTGGTCTGACTCAACTGCAAGCTGGGTTTTGAGGATAGCGCCTTGTGATGGACGTTTCGACATTATCGTTGGGCCACTCTATTTTATCTCCTGTCTCTGTGGTTCCTAAGCTTTTTTGTACTCAAGCTTGTTCTATCCTTCTTGTTCTTGATTGGTTTCATACGCTGTCATCGGCTTTCTTTCTGCATCGTACTGCATGAGTAACGGATGACACGGTAGTCAGTCTACCATATGCGAGTTGAAATATTGAAATATGGAATTGGTTGAAATGTTGCCCAACGTCTTACATTCTGATTATTACTTGTCAGGAAACTAGCTTCAAAGAATGGAAGTTAGTGGTGCAGGAAATTGTTCGCTTCATGGATGTAGAAAATGCTTTCGTGAAAGTCCGGCCCTTACGTTATTGTACCGTCTATGATACCCACCCAAAGTCTCTTCCTTATGTAACTCGATTCCATGCAAAAAAGATTTTAAAATTTCAAGATGCGGTGCTGACAAGCTACCACCGGAATGAGGTACTCTTAAGTGTGACTTAAATTTGATATTGATGCGGACTTGCTTAGCCCTGTAATAGGTTGTTTATTAGTCTAACCTTATAATGTGCTCTCACATTCAGGTCAAATTTGCAGAGCTTACATTGGATACTTATAGAATGCTGCAGTGTCTGGAGTGGGAACCGAGTGGATTATTCTCCCAAAAACAACAGCCTGTCCAATCAAATGAGAATGGTTCCGCTGTCGATCATTCTGGAGCGTCCGCGATTATTGACATAAACTTAGGCATAGATTTGACCGATTCTTCCTTGCCGCGCAATCCAAGGAAGGCCATTCTATACCGTCCATCAGTGACGCAATTGATTGCAGTAAGTTCTGGGTCCACCTGTCATAGTTTTGATCTGAGGCATTTACTTTGCGGTTCTCATTGCAGTGCTTGGGTTTGACCATAGTAATTGCCTTGCTTGATCACCTCCACTTCAGAAATCTTGATTGCTAATTTGAAGGAATTTGATCATCTTGTCCGCATAGTTAGAGGCTTCTTGATTGACATTATAATTGCATGATAGCTACAGGACTTTATAAAACAGTACAGTATTAGCATGCTGTAATTCAAAACTCAAGGTGAATTATGGTTTTACATTGCTAGGACATGTGGCTTAGCATGGTCGCGGTCACACAAGTTTGCTTTTCGTTCAGCGAATGCTTTTCTGGTGATTAGGAAAGATAAACCATGTAGACAGTGCTTGAAAAGTTGACATTTGTCCACGTATATTTGAACAAATGAAGATGATGCTGAACAATGTTATCTTGGTGTAGGTTATTGCTACAATCTGTGAGGAGCTCCGGCCGGATACTGTGATGCTGATATATCTTTCAGCTCCAGGTAATACTTAATATAAAATGGTTGCTGATAGCATAGTGCGGCTTATCATGTTTTGACATAATAACTCAATGACTGAATGACCATACCCAGGTAGGACGGGCCATCATCATAATTCACAGGTGGAAAACTCCAAGCTTTCGGCGAAGCTTTCCAGAACAAAATTCGTTTGTGAATTTTCTCGTGAACAAAGTTCCTCCACATCCGAATCTTCTGTCGATGAGAAGAATATGTCAAATGACTTTTGTGATGGTTGTCTGTGCTTAGCACCAAGAGGAACTGTGGGTAGGTATCTAAACTGGATACTGCTTCTTCGGAGCAAGAACTATGGACATTGCATTTTGCATGTTCATCACTTTCTCTGAGCTCTTGCAATGAGATTGATTTTTCGCTCTCATAATTTTGTTTCCTTTTTTAATATTTCAGGTTCGTTCAATCTCTACCCTGCTGATATAATTCCTTTCACCAGGAAACCCCTTTTTTTGATCATTGATAGTGACAACAGCCATACATTCAAGGCAGGTTTGTCAAAACTTGTGCATCTGTAGGGTTAGTCACTGTTCTTTTGCTGTTAAACTAGGATGCTGTCCATGTTTGATGAACTCCAATTTCTTCTAGTTACTTTTATTTGTTGTCAATTCATAAGCTCTTTTACAGTCACAGTAAGTGGTTCAGTTTTTCCTCATAATCTTATCACATCTAGATACGATTTGTGCACATGACTGACCTCCGGTTCCCCACAAACAATGACATACAAATTGCACACTCCAAAAGTCCAAATGGTCACGGTGACCTTTTTAATTTCTCCAGCATATTGCTCGACAAGGACTTCAATTGCAAGCTATGAGACTTTGGATTCATGAAAATTGGGTTTTCCTTACTTGTTCTACCACTTTCCTCTGTTCTAACCGAGAATGAAGCAGATCATCTCGGTTTCTCCTGGTTACACACTACATCTCAACAGGAATCACATCAAAGAGTGACTATATCTGCACCTGCTGAGTGATTTGGGGAATTGAAGCCTTTTCTTAAGAGAGAAACCAATTATGAATTGATAAGTGCATGAATGAGGATGTTAAAAATGAATTTCCAGAAAAATGTGAATTAATTTAACCTCTGCTTTTATGATTTCCATGCATGAATATGTTTGCTGCAGCAATTCGAAACATTTTTTTAAAACTCTTTGAAGGGTCGTAGCAGGGCATGTTTGTCCATGAGATGTTTTGATGTTTCTGACTTGCTGGAGATTGTTTTCCAGGTCGTTCATGGTGCAGAGAGAGGAGAGACTGCTGCCCTGTTTCTTTCACCTTTGAGGTCTGCAAACAAGAATATGTCTGGTGCTGAAGTAGGAGAGAGCGGCAGCCAATTTACCTTTTTCTTAACGGCTCCTCTTTTAGCATTTTGCCAGTTAGTAGGTCTCTCTTCATCCAGTCACAATGAGGTATGGCACATTTCCCTGGTAAGAAGATTTAGTCTTAACTCTTGATAATTTATTTGATTGCTTTCTCTTGTTAGGATGTTTATAAGGATGCGGAGAACATACTTGCCTCTGCCTTCTCTGGATGGGAAGTCACTCTTTGTACATCAGCTGACCTGGATCTAGTTTGGGCTCAAGTTCTATCAGATCCGTTTATCCGCCGTCTAATATTGAGGTATGCATGTTATTTTCCTGGAGAGAAACTGTTCGATTTTACTTTGGTTGGGTTATTTAAGGTTTGATTGTACCTTTGATCAGTCTTTCACATGTATATGAATAAAAAGAAACCGCCCTACGTAAACTTAAACTTGGGATTATTATAGCCTCTAGGTGGTTTTTTCGTTGCCTTTGACCTTAAGCATGTCCGATGAGTATGAAAAGCAAACTAATGGTGTCACGTACTGCAGATTCGTGTTCTGCAGGTCCGTGCTTTTCTTCTTTTGTCCGTCAGGAAACAAGGAACAGTATCTGCCGGTTTGCCTGCCCTGTTTGCCCGAGTCACTCTCTCCAACATCCGAGATCGTGCGTTCTGCTGTGGTTCGGATCGCAAATCACTTCCAGGTAGCCGAATGCTTTCACTTCGCCGATGTATAAACCAGCCACGCAGACATGACCGTAAAATACTGAGCACCACAGTGAGATTCCCACACAAATCCTGTCAGGTGAGCTGCCTTTGGGGAACGGTAGAGGTGCATTGCTAGAGAAGAGGTTATGAACCAAGCCAAGTTTGGTTTGTTCTTTGGATCCATTTGAGCATTATACTTTAGTGGTCTGTTGTATTGCTTGGGCGGGTTTCAATAGTGTTGTCCTTTACTAATTCGTTTCACATCACCATGGAAAAGGCCAAAAAAAAGCAGGCGGAGGCAGAATGAGATTGATTTGTGTACCTCGGTTTTAGGGCTTTTTATGATGAACAAAGGGAGAAGTTGTTCCATAGTAGGGTGTAAATTGGGTATTCTTTGATTGGAGAGTTAATAGTCGCTGACCGAACTTACAGAAACTGATCCTCTCTCTCCTTCTCCCTCTCTCTCTCTCAACGAGTCCATTTGCATATTTTCTCTTAGTTCACGGTTTCCAGATTTCCATTGGCCTAGGCCGCTCGCTTTTGATTTCCCCCGCCACGGGCGAGCATCGCGATCTTTGACTAGGGGGAGACTAATATGGCTGTATGGTTGTTTCACGGCTCGTTCGACTCGTGGGAGACGATGTGGCTCATAAGAAATTTCCTCCACGAACGAGGACGACTTCTTGATTAATTTTGCTCTTTTTGCTGGTATACCGAAGAAAATGGGATTCGTGAGAACAAAAATTAGTAATCATTGTGTTTTGGGATTGGACATTTTTCCGGCACATTTCGAGAGATTTGGTGCAATGAGGGAGTTCTCACATATTGTTGGCTTCCAATTTCGGTTTCTTCGTGGAACTAATGAGAAGAAGCACGCGTTTTATGCGGTGTAAGATATAAAATACACTTCGACCAGAAAAAAGAAGAAGAAGGTATAAAATACGTGTCTAGGGGAAACAAAATACTTTATGAGTTGAGTGACTATCATGTGATTCGATATCAATTGTAGAGAAAGAAATTATAGAAATCGTTTTCGAGTTTACCTTTCAAATACCTTCCTCGTATTTAAATTCTACGATTGTCATCCTCACTTTTTACAATGCAAACATGACCGCCGCTATTTTTCTTATTCTTTTTTTTGCCATCACCCTTCTGCAATTTCTCTCTATTCCTTACTATTTTGATATTTTTTTAAATTTTAGTCTTTTTATTATTGATTTTAGTTTTTAAATTTAATATTGCGTTTATTTGGCTCCTAGCCAAGTGTTGCCTGCCCGAAAAGTTAAAGAAAAAAAACTTACCGCGTGGTTTTGCATCCAAGAAGAATAGATGGAGCTAATGAAATGACTGGAATGGAGGATAATGACAAGTACCAGGATTTAAATGCACAAATTAAAAATAGGACTTAAGTATGGGATGGACGTAAATTTTAGGGCTTCTGCTGTGATTGCCCTTATCTCTTAAAAGTAAATCTCTTGTTTTTACCAAACTATACTTGTATTACTAGCATTTTTTATTTTTTAATAGGAGGAAATTGTTTAGCATTTTTTTTATTAATGAGAACGGTGGGAAGGGATGATTAGCTTCGGCAACCCCTCGATGATAACCATACAAGTTTCACAAGCGATCAGAATATTCGATTTGAGTTAAAACTATAACACATCTTTTGATGAGCTTCTTGTTTACTTTTCTTCGCTCGTTTAAATATGCATGAAATGGAACTAGGTTTGATTGGTTAATTGTCTAAAATAAATTGTTCTTAAAATCAAAGTCGGGGACAAATTTAGAAATTCTCGACGTTTTGTATATTCAGTGACACTTAGCGACACTTACGTTCCGATTTTTATTTAACTCGAAGCACTCAAAATCTTTCAAAATACTCAAACATCAACATACTAAATTATGCGTAGCTTTCATAATTTTTCGAAGCTTAAATATTATTTTTATTTCCTAATCGAGAAAGTCACGACATTCGAGTACTAGCACAGAAATTAGTTGATAAGTGGAATCTTTTGGGAAAATGAAAGTTTGTTTGTCCAAATTTAAGGATGAAAAGTTTTCTAAGTCTCCATTTATTTTGAGGAGAACATTTTCGGAAATTTTTTTTTTCTTATTTTTTGTCGTGTGGTTCGCTTAAGAAAATGAATCAACGGAAAACTTATGTTTAATCTTGGGAATTTCCTCTTGAAAAATTGAAAATCATTCCAAATATATAACTAAGTATCCGCATTTGGACTCAAAACTCTACGCTTAGGCACAGAAATCCTAACGCTGGTTTCTAGGTCCTTAATGTCCAAGATCAGGTCTTTGGCGCCTGCGCCCTGATTCCCGGCGCTTGCGCTTGGGTTCATCGAGGTCGAGCCCAAGCTCCCGACACCCGCACCTGAGTCCATCGAGGTTGGCCCAAAATCCCGGTGTCCGTGCCTAATGCCCTGGCACCTAGGCCTAGGTCCACAAAGGCCTAGTGAGGCATCTCGATGCCCGAGCTCGTATCCCAAACATCCAGGCCTGGGTCCATAAAGGCCGGGCGAGGCATTCCGATACCCGATCTTTGATCCCAAACATCTGAGCCCAGGTCCACAAAGGTCGTGCTCGAGACCCAGGTGCCTAATCCCGGCACCCGGGTCAGGGTCCATTGAGGCAGAACCCGAGACTCTAGTGCTCGTACCTGATTCTCATGCTGCCAATACACAAGTTATTAGTATATGTTTATTTAGATTTGATTTTCTATATTAAGGCTCCGTTTGTTTGACGAAAAATATTCTCCTTTTGGAAAATATTTTCCCGGAACATAATTTTCCGGTGTTCGGAGACCAATATGAAAAAGTTTCGGAAAATATTTTTCGCCGGCGGCGGCCGGCGGCAGCTCTGGCCCGGCCGGCGGTCTGCGGCGCGGATGGCGGCGGCAGCGGCAGCAGCGGCAGGCGCGGCGCGCCGAAGCAGCGGCGGCCGGTGGACCGACGGCCAATGTCCAGCGGCGGCGGCGGCGACCGACGGCCAATGTCCGGCATCCGGCGGCGGCGGCGGCGGCCGACGACCTTAGTGAAGAAGAAGAAGAAGCTCCGGAAAATGATTTCCGTTTTTGAAGAAGCGGAAGTCATTTTCCATAGACTTAGGCTATTTTGTGAGGGGGGAAGGAAAATATTTTCCCACGGAAAACGTTTTCCGCCCCCGAACACCGGAAAACCCGGAAAATATTTTTCGGGAGAATATTTTCCGCCAAACGAACGGAGCCTAAATGACGGAAAGTACATTTTCAGGTTTTGGCAAAATATGGAAAAGATTGTCATTTTTCTGAAAAATGACTTCTCGAAAAATATTTGCCAAAATGTCACACTCTTGGTGAAACAAGCGGAGCCTAAATTTAAAAAAAACTACCATAACATTATCTGTGATTCTACCCATTTCATATTTGAATACGATAAAGAAATTATAGATATTATAAAGAAGCAAGAGGTAAAGTATGATAAAAACAAGGAAAAATACCACAAAAAACCCAAAATTATGTCATTTGTGACAAATTTACCTTGAACTTATTTTTGCGACCCGAAAAACCCCAACCTATACCACTCGTGACACATTTACCCCACAATACTGTTCCTAAGGGCATTTTTGTCTTTTTCCTTTTTCTGTTTTTTCTTTCTTTCTTCTCTCTTCCCTCCACCGACCATGGCGGAGGGAAGCCGGCAAGGGCGGCCCTCGCCCAAACCCAACGTTGATGAGGGCCGCCTTTGTTGGCTTTCCTCCGCCATGTCCGGCGGAGGGAAGAGAGAAGAAAGAAAAAAAAAATAGAAAAAGGAAAAAGACTAAAATGCCCTTGAGAAAAGTATTGTGGGGTAAATGTGTCACAAATTTTTCGTGTCGCAAAAAAAAGTTCAGGGCAAATTTGTCACAAATGATATATTTTGGGATTTTTGGTGGCATTTTTCCTGAAAAATAAAAAGGTAAAGTAGCCCTCATTAACTTAAAAAAAAAAAAAGAAAAGAAAAGAAAGAAAAATAATCAAAAGTCGTGCAAAGTCCACGTTATTCACAATTCGCACGAACGCGTCTCGCCGAATTTTCCGAAACCACGCCGGTCTCCCCTTTCGATCCTCCGACGCGGAGTACTACGTTTTCGATTCCCGCTCCGTCGTATCGGGCCCGAGTCAAAACAGCGGTTCCGCCCAGCCAATCAGGCCGCGCCACGCAGGCCCCACGATCCGTGGCAGCGCTCCAACCCTCCTGTTGTCGCCGTCCATCCGGGGGCGAGAAAACACAAACCGGGGGCCTCCCCACCGTGCGATCCGTCGAGCAAAGAAGCACAAGGATCGCGCGCCTCGCCCGTCGGATCGTTCAACATCATCGCCCTCGCCCTCCCCCGCGCCCCTATAAATAGGAACCAACCGGTCTTCTTTCCAAACTTTTTCCGCAGAGCGTTCCGTTTCCCGAGGAAGAAGAAGAGAAAAGGTGAAGAAGGAGAAGAAGAAGAAGAAGATCGAGAGAGGCAAGTCTCCGTGCGATTTCTCTTTAACCTTAGTCGATGATGAGGTCGAATTTGTTATCTGATCTTGCGCGCCTCTTGTCGCTCGTGCTTCGATGGCGCGTGTGGTGATGGGAATCGCCACGGGGCGTTCCTTCGAAATCTAGGGTTTTCGCCTGTCGCCTGATTTCGCTCCTCTCGGTTAGGGTTTTTTTTTTTTGGTGATAGATCCCGCGCTTTTTAGTCCTTAATGGTTATGGAATCGTATAGTAGGAGGCAACGATCTGGCCAATTTAGGGTTTGGGTTGGAGATTGATTTGTGAATGGTGGTGAGCGCTTTGATGCTGAAAAGATTTTAGGGCTTGGCATTGGTTGCTGGGAGGCTGCTTTCTGGTCTGATATTGGGGAAGTTTTCTATTGTTAAGCGTGTGGGCGTGTTTTCTCCTTTCTTGTGTGATTTGTGTGGTGGTTTGTCTTCATGTCGGTATACTAGTTAGGACATGGAGGGTCGTTGAGGTCTGTGTCCTGATTGTGTGGTTATGTGAAATTCGCGCTCGAATATAATCGTTGTAACGTCAAACAGATGGCTCGTACCAAGCAAACTGCCCGTAAGTCGACCGGAGGAAAGGCCCCGAGGAAGCAACTCGCTACCAAGGTATGTCAATTTCCGTAATCGTCTGTTTTGCTTATTACAATTTTGTTGGGTGGGTTGTTTTTTGGCTGTAGTGTGACCTGGTTGTGATGAGGTGTTTTTTTGTGCTTATAGGCTGCCCGTAAGTCTGCCCCTACCACTGGTGGAGTGAAGAAGCCTCACCGTTACCGCCCTGGTACCGTTGCTCTTCGGTAAGACATCGCCCTCTACGGGTGCTTATTTTGTTCTCAGGCAATGGTTTCTTTCTCTTTGAATTGACAAGTCCAGTGTAATCTTGCAGTGAAATCCGTAAGTACCAGAAGAGCACTGAGCTTTTGATTAGGAAGCTCCCATTCCAGAGGCTTGTCCGTGAAATTGCCCAGGACTTTAAGGTGATGTCTCTGCTCTCATTCGATTGTTGCACGGTAAAAACACAGGTGGAGAAGTGGCACCTTGAAACTGAAATGTGTTGTTTGCCTATTCTTGGGTGCAGACCGATCTGCGTTTCCAGAGCCATGCTGTACTGGCCCTTCAGGAGGCGGCCGAGGCGTACCTCGTGGGACTGTTTGAGGACACCAACCTCTGCGCTATCCATGCCAAGCGCGTGACCATCATGCCCAAGGATATTCAGCTTGCCCGAAGAATCCGCGGCGAGCGTGCCTAGGCTGTTTCTCTTGAAATGGGAGAGATTGAATCTGGTGGTGGTGTTATGGTGGTGTTTCTTTTGTTCTTTCCTTGTTAAGTTGGGACTTCTAGGACTTTTCAGATGATATGATATAGGCAGGATCGTAGTTCTTTTTAGTGGATTCAGAAGGGCAAAGACAATGATGTTGCCTTTGGGGTAAATGGGTTGTGTAATAGTGGCTGGCCTAATTTGACATTACATTTGCGTATGACCGTGTTTTTCTTTTGTGGGATATGCTTATGTCGACTTAATGTTTAATGTGCCATCATCTTTGATCGACTCTTATGTTTTGATTGATAAATTGCGAAGGAGCCAGGGGTGATGAAATAGAATTACTTTGTCCCAACCCCAAAAATGTCTCGGACTAAGCGAATTGTTAATTTCGATCACAATGTGGGCACATCACAATTGACTGGTTGTGGTCGTATTCGTATTCGATTTGTGTTTCTGTTGGACTGGTCAAAGGAAGGACTGAAGCGACGGTCCTTAGAAAGTTTTGTTGAAAACTGGTTTTCAAAGATGCGACGAGCGGCGCCATCCGTTTGTCTTTTGCTTTATAAATTTTTCAATGAGGAAGAGGAGAAAATAGTGACATTTTCTTCATCCCTTATTCTCTCCGACTCTTGAAAACAGAACTCTGGCTTTTGTAAAAATCCGCTTACCTTGTTTTCCTAAGAAAGTCGTATGTAATTCGTGTGATATAAGAGATACTTTATGAGCGGGGTCCTGATCGCAGGAGCTGTGGTTTTGGGGGCCCAAATACTGGAAATCTGGCCTTGACTTGGGCACTAGAATCGAATATCTAGGCACAGGCGCTGGGATCTTGGGCCTTGGCCTCGAGGGAGCCAGCCTATATTTGGTGGACTCGAGCCCCTGTTCAGGGACTAGGCTCGAGAGCTAGGGACATGGCCGCGAGATCAGGTACCGAGAATGATTGTCATGGACCTAGATTAAACAATTTAAAATATTATTAATAAAAGAAATTTTGTGTAGTTACTTCAAACGTATTTACATGCTCTTTTCATCCCAGGGAATAGAAATTTTGGACAAGATTCTAAACGCTTCAAATGCCGTCAAATTGTTTAAGTACGTAATAAAAAAGAATCATTTACGAGTAGAAATAGTTCCCTAGCATGTGAATGATTGTAAATGCAGCTTTAGTGGACTCGAGCCCACTGTTCATGGACTAGGCTCGAGAGCCAGGGACATGGGCCGCGAGATCGGTGCATCGAGAATGATTGTCATGGACCTAGGTACAGGCACCGAGTCTCGAGCCGGCCTAGGTGAACGTAGGTCTGTGACTTGGCTGTTGCCGGGTACTCGAGCATGGCCATCGAGAATTCGGGCACGGGCACTGGATTTTGGAACCAGGCCTTTGTGAACTTGGGCTCGGGCATGGTCCGGCTCGGGCGCCAACGACTTGGGCATGGACCCTAACATGGCCTCACGGTGACCCGAGCACTCGGCACTAGGGCCTCGGGCTGGCCTTCGTGGACCCGGGCTTGGTCTTAATGGACTTAGGCCCAGACATCGGTGACTTGGGCATAGGAGCCGGGAACCTGGGCACAAGAATCATAGTCTCGGGCCTAGCCTCAAGGGACTCGGGCCTAGCCTTTGTGACCTCGGGCTCGGCCGCTGAGGAAACCGGTCACGGGCTCGTCTTTCCTAGGCTCAATCCGTGGATTCTGAATGGAAGGGTTATGGCGGAACCAGCTCGGCAAAAGGAAAACTTTTGGCAGTTGGGTCTAGCATTTTCAGGCATGAATAGGTTTTTTTTTTGTCGAAAGGCGTGAATAGGTTAAGAGGCCAGATATCCTCTTTTTTTGTTCTTACTCATTGCTTTGTCAAAATTCAAAACCCGTTTTGCAAATTTAGATAATTAAATATAATACTTGTTACAAAAATTTAATGTCTCATGTTACGGATGTCATTCTTTTTTTTTTTTTTTTATACAGATGTCATTCAAAGATAGGATTTTCTAGAATGTCAACATGAACGGGTCAAGATCTGAGCGTTGTCATAAAACTACCCGAACATCTTGAAAAAGCTTATTTGAGCTCTGCCTCATGCAATCAAGTGACAACTAGCCACTTTTGCAAATTTCGACACCTCGTCGTGCTTTATGTTGGAGTAGATCGTAGTATTGGAAGTATATTGATCTTAAAGAAGAGGATGTTTTGTCAACAGTGATATTTATTGTATGTCAAAGTTTATCTAGTGAAAACTTATGATTTTTGATTAGTCATCTTGATTGCATTCCAAGAATCATATAATGAAAAAGTGTGACTTGTCAACGCGCACATTGATACATTTCAACAATCATTTATTAAAAGAGTGCGATTCTTAATAGATATGAAAATTTAAAAATCTTATTTTGAGACGTGTATACAATTTATTAAATTTTCACACAGTTTTATCGTGAGAGTTTTCTAGAGATTTTGTCGTATCCCGGGGGTGTGTTGTTTTATGTTCTTCTCCCACCATGGTGAGGCAATAAAACCTTTAAAAAGGCGATCTACATGCCTGAAAGCCAAGTGAGGTCTCCCCCTATACTATTTTCTATAGCACTTTACTATTATCATTCGATTTAGTGTTTGATTGACTTTTTAAGGCTTTCTTAGGTTTTAAATTTATGTCTCTGTTTGTTTTGACTCACTGAGTAAAAACTCATTGACTTTCAAGCCAAAAATTAAAAATTCCGTTATGATTAACAAAGTGAAAATTTACCTATCAATTAACATGTCCATATAAACGGATTGGAATGAGGCTGTTTTGTCAAACGAGGGTTTGGAGTGAATCTTGTTTCAAATAAAATCAATAAGTGTTTTACTTAGTTCCAACTTCCAAATATGGTCACAAATTCGCCGGTTAGCCAAATCTTCACCGGTAACTGAGCACATGCGACTCAACTGGCACTTTCCAAGTGACAATTAGGGAGATTGTCTAAAGGCAATTTTTTTTTTTCTGATCATCGTCATTGCCGTTGTTGTCACTACCACCACCATCATCATCATCATCATCATCATCATCTTCTTCTTCTCCTCCTCTTGCAAGCAAGCTATCGTAGTCCAAAGCTCGGGTCGACCTCCATCTGAAGGTGTTGGAATTTCCGTCGAGAGAAGTCGTGGACGAGGTCAGCTGGGAGAGAGAGAGAGGAAACCGATATAATGAGAGGCTTTGATGGAGGATGTCCTTGCCGAACCTAGTGCTCTTCGGCTCCCTTAGCCCTAGCTGCCTTGCGACTAGGGCCCTCAGGTCCACCGCATTGGTGATGTCGAGGCTATAATCATAGAGCAGCTTCTCAACATCTTCATTGACGCCGACCTTGACAAATATGTGGCAAGGGTGTGAAGGAAGTTGGCGGCCCCAAGTTAAGGCTGATTTGAAAGTGCAAGTCTGCAAGAGCTCGACTTATTGGCATTTGGCACACCGCCTCTCATCGTTTCACTTATGTTGCCACCACCAAAAGCATGAGCTGAGTATATGGCAGCACTCCATGCCTTAGTACCAAGGCATCGAAGTATTGTTTGATAACTTATATGAAGTTGTCCACCTCTTTGGCAAACCGATCATCCTTGAACTCCTTCGATTTCAGATCGTCCGCCCTTAGACTCAATATCATCCCGCTCCGCATGGTTGTCTTGCAACCCTTTGAGTTTTTCTTTGACCATCCCTAACTCCTTTCAAAAGTCTTCCACCATGAATTCAAGAGCATCACTCTCTTGTGCAATGGGCCTGTGAATTGATACAAGGCGATCGAGAAATCATCGCGAAGCATCTCCTTGACCCCATCGATTCGCTCCTCAAGTCCTCGAATCCATTCTACAATACGCCTGCGGTCAACAAGACCTTGATGAGATTCTCCTCAAATGAGGAGATGATAACCCTCAATGGAGTCCTCTTGGCACGAGACTCCTCTCCAGCATTATCTTCAACATTAGCAATTATAGTAACCCCCGATTTCAACGTCCTCTTGACTAGTTGATATGCACCTCAAACTTTCTCGATCGTGTTCTCTACAACTTACTTTAATAGCACCACAAGTTGACAATTGAGATCGTGATCATGCAATGGTTGAGCTTCTTTTGACTTGTTTCACCCATTACTAGAGTCATTTAGGCTTAGCTTTTCCCTCATCAATTGCACGAGACTCCTTCTCTCGAGCAGTCACCGACACCAGCAATAGTCCTACCTCCAATTTTAACATCCTCTTAATTAGTTGATATGCACCACAAACTCTCTCAATTGTGCTCTCTATAACTTACTTTGATACCACCTGTCACAGATTGACACTTGAGATTGCGATCGTGCGACACTTAGGCTCCTTTTGACTCATTCACCCCTTACTAGAGTCATCTCGGTTCAGCCTTCCCCTCGTCAATTGCTCACTTGCTCGCTTAGCATACCTTAAATTGCGGAGAGTGATTATTGAGAGAAATGTTTCGGAAGAGAATGCTCCATTGCTTTTCTCGTGTTGGATTTGTGGATGTTCCAAATGAGGGTCTAAAGGAGCCTAATATATACATGTCCATTAAATTATAACAGTAGATTTCTCCTCCATTAGATGTTGGAGATTCAATCTTTTAATCACCATCTATCCCGTGATACACCTGAAAATGTTTTAGGGTATCCAGAAGAAGCCTAAACCTCTAGAAGCTACAAAAGTATGCCCGACCATCCAGGGCCACCTCTTCACCCTATTGTACCTCGAATTCCTTCCCTCCCTGACGTGTCGTACGATGGTTTTTATCATTGGCGATGGGCCGAGGGAGATCCCTTGGACCATGGTATTTTTTTCGGGTGTATTTTGAGGAAAGTCCAACTTTGGAGTTACACGAAAATCCCTCTATTTTTTATTTTTTGGGGTTTGAAATTCTACAATCAACAAAAGAAGAAAAAAAAGGAAAATTGGTCATTTTAGTTCTTATTAGAAATATGGGATAATGATGCATATAATTCTTAAATTTTGGCTTAACGTGTAATGTATTCCTAAATTTTAGCTCAATATACAATATGGTCCTTGAAATTTTAATTTATCTAATGTGATCTCTGAAATTTTGGTGTATATTCAATTAAGTCCCCGAACTATACGAAAATATTTTTTTGTATATTTCGAGGACTTAATTGAACATGAACATATACCAAAAACCTTTGAATATTTTCGTATAATTCGGGGACTTAATTGAATATACATCAAAAGTTCATGGACTATATTGAATATATTAGAAGTTCAAAAATCACGTTACACGACTAAAATTCAAGAAAGACATTCAACAAAT